CAAAATCAGCAGGGGATCAAATACTTTTTTCTCTCACTGTATGCATAGTCACTTTAATAACTCTACCTACATGTACATATTACCTCAATTACCTCGACTAACTGGTGCCCCCACACATTGACTCTGTATATAGCCTCGCTATTGTTATGTTACTGCTGCTCTTGAATTATTTGTTACTTTTATTTCGTATTATTTTATATTGTATTTTTTTTAAATTTTTTTTGGGGGTATTCTTTCTTAAAACTGCATTGTTGGTTAAGGGCTTGTAAGTATGCATTTCACTGTAAGGTCTACACCTGTTATATTTGGCGCATGTGACAAATACAATTTGATTTGATTTGAGCCTCGAAGGATAGGGTGCTGGAGTACTGAAAACAGGGGTGCCAATAATTCTGACCCCTATCTTTTTGAGTTTTTTTATTACAAAATATATTTCTCTGAGCAATTGTATTAGTATAAAACAATATAATTTTACAACATTTTTTGCATGCAATATAGCTCAGTATTTGTATAATTTATTTTATAGTATTTTTTGCTCATCTTTATCAAGGGTGGCAATAATGATGGACCTGAATGTATGAGTCTTCCTATAGAATACAGAGGACAGACAGCATGAGCTAATAGTATGTTCAAAACATAAGACTGTGTACTGGGATTTTAACAAAGCAAATTTGAGGAAAACGCTACTGAAGTTCTATCAACACGTTGCCTGTAGTACTCGCGCTACAAAAACTCTCGACCATTGTTACTCTCCCTTCCGGGATGGCTACAAGGCCCTCCCTTCGGCAAATCAGACACAACTCCATTCTGCTCCTCCCTTACATTCTGCTCCTCCCTTCCTATAGGCAGAAACTCAAACAGGAAGCACCCGTTCTAAGGTCTATTCAACGCTGGTCTGAACAATCAGAATCCATGCTTCAAGATTGTTTTGATCACGTGTACTGGGATATGTTCCGGGTTGCTTCTGAGAATAACATTTACGTATACACGGACATGGTGACTGAGTTCATCAGGAAGTGTATACAGTGGCTTGCGAAAGTATTCACCCCCCTTGGCATTTTTCCTGTTTTGCTGCCTAACAACCTGAAATTAAAATTGATTTTTGGGGGGTTTGTATCATTTGATTTACACAACATGCCTACCACTTTGAAGATGCAAAATATTGTTTATTGTGAAACAAACAAGAAATAAGACAAAAAAAACAGACAACTTGAGCGTGCATAACTATTCACCCCCCCCCCCCAAAGTCAATACTTTGTAGAGCCACCTTTTGCAGCAATTACAGCTGCAAGTCTCTTGGGGTATGTCTCTATAAGCTTGGCACATCTAGCCACTGGGATTTTTGCCCATTCTTCAAGGCAAAACTGCTCCAGCTCCTTGAAGTTGGATGGGTTCCGCTGGTGTACTTTTTAAGTCATACCACAGATTCTCAATTGGATTGAGGTCTGGGCTTTGACTAGGCCATTCCAAGACATTTAAATGTTTCCCCTTAAACCACTCGAGTGTTGCTTTAGCAGTATGCTTAGGGTCATTGTTCTGCTGGAAGGTGAACCTCCGCCCAGTCTCAAATCTCTGGAAGACTGAAACAGGTTTCCCTCAAGAATTTCCCTGTATTTAGCGCCATCCATCATTCCTTCAATTCTGACCAGTTTCCCAGTCCCTGCCGATGAAAAACATCCCCACAGCATGATGCTGCCACCACCATGCTTCACTGTGGGGATGGTGTTCTCGGGGTGATGAGAGGTGTTGGGTTTGCACCAGACATAGCGTTTTCCTTGATGGCCAAAAAGCTCAGTTTTAGTCTCATCTGACCAGAGCACCTTCTTCCATATGTTTGGGGAGTCTCCCACATGCCTTTTGGCGAACACCAAACGCACCACTTTTCCATTATTAATTTTTTTAGAATTTCTTTAAATAAGTTATTTTTTTCATTTCACTTTACCAATTTGGACTTTTGTGTATGTCCATTACATTAAATCCAAATAAAAATCAATTTCAATTACAGGTTGTAATGCAACAAAATAGGAGAAACGCCAAGGGGGATGAATACTTTTGCAAGGCACTGTAGGGGATGTTGTTCCCACTGTGAATATTAAAACCTACCCAAACCAAAAACCGTGGATAGATGGCAGCATTCGCGCAAAACTGAAAGCGTGAACCACCGCATTTAACCACGGCAAGGTGACTGGGAATACGGTCGAATACAAACAGTGTAATTATTCCCTCCGTATGGCAATCAAACAGGCAAAACGTCAGTACAGAGACAAAGTGGAGTCGCAATTCAACTGCTCAGACACGAGACGTTTGTGGCAGGGACTCCAGACAATCACGGATTACAAAGGGAAAACCAGCCACGTCGTGGATACTGACGTCTTGCTTCCGGACAAGCTAAACACCTTCTTCACCCGCTTTGAGGATAACACAGTGCCACCAACGCGGTCCGCTCCCAAGGACTTTGGCTTTCATTCTCCGTGGCCGACATGAGTAAGACATTTAAGCGTGTTAACCCTCGCAGGGCTGCCGGCCCAGACGGTATCCCTAGCCTCGTCCTCAGAGCATGCGCAGACCAGCTGGCTGGAGTGTTTACGGACATATTCAATCTCTTCCTATCCCAGTCTGCTGTCCCCACCTGCTTCAAGATGTCCACCATAGTTCCTGTTCCCAAGAAAACAAGGGTAACTGAACCAAATGACTATCATCCCGTAGCACTCACTTATGTCATCATGAAGTGCTTTGAGAGGCTAGTTAAGGATCATATCACCTCCACCTTACCTGACACCCTAGACCCACTTCAATTTGCATACCGACCCAATAGATCCATAGATGATGCAATCGCCATTGCACTGCACACTGCCCTATCCCATCTGGACAAGAGGAATACCTATGTAAGAATGCTGTTCATTGACTATAGCTCAGCCTTCAACACCATAGTACCCACCAAGCTTATCATTAAGCTCGGGGCCCTGGGTCTGAACCCCGCCCTGTGCAACTGGGTCCTGGACTTCCTGACAGGCCGCCCCCCAGGTGGTGAAGGTAGGAAACAACACCTCCACTACCCTGATCCTCAACACAGGGGCCCCACAAGGGTACGTGCTCAGCCCCCTCCTGTACTCCCTGTTCACCCATGACTGCGTGGCCACGCACGCCTCTAACTCAATCATCAAGTTTGCAGACTACACAACAGTAGTATGCCTGATTACCAACAATGACGAGACAGCCTACAGGGAGAAGGTGAGGGCCCTGGCGGGGGGTCCTGGAAAATAACCTCTCCCTCAACGTCAACAAAATGAAGGAGCTGACTTCAGGAGACAACAGAGAGAGCACGCCCCTATTCATTTGAGAGAGAGCACGCCCCTATTCAAGGTGAAAAGCTTAAAGTTCCTCGGTGTACACGTCACTGACAATCTGAAATGGTCCACCCACACAGACAGTGTGGTGAAGAAGGCGCAACAGCGCCACTTCAATCTCAGGAGGCTGAAGAAATTCAGCTTGGCCCCTACGACCCTCACAAACTTATAGATGTACAATTGAGAGCATCCTGTCTGGCTGTATAACCGCCTGGTATGGCAACTGCACTGCCCGCAACCGCAGGGCTCTCCAGAGGGTGGTGCGGTCTGCCCAACCCATGCCCTCCAGGACACCTACACCACCCGATGTCACAGGAAGGCCAAAAAGATCATCAAGGACATCAACCACCCGAGCCACGGCCTGTTCACCCCGCTATCATCCAGAAGGCGAGGTCAGTACAGGTGCATCAAAGCTGGGACCGAGAGACTGAAAAACAGCTTCTATCTCAAGGCCATCAGACTGTTAAATAGCAATCACTAGCCTACTACCACCTGGTTACTCAACCCTGCACCTTAGAGGCTGCTGCCCTATGTACATAGACATGGAATCACTGGTCACTTTAAATGGAACAGTAGTCACTTTAATAATGTTTACATACTGTTTAACTCATTTCATTTGTATATACTGTATTCTACTGTATTTTAGTCAATGCCACTCAGACATTGCTCGTCCTAATATTTATATATCTCTTCATTCCATTATTTTACTTTTAGATTTGTTGTGAATTGTTAGATACTACTGCACTGTTGGAGCTAGAAACACTAGCATTTCACTACACCCGCAATAACATCTGCTAAATATGTGTATGTGACCAATAACATTTGATTTGCAGTGGAGGCTGGTGGGAGGATCTATAGGAGGACGGGCTCATTGTAATGGCTGGAATGGAATGATGGAAAGGTATCAAACACATCAAACATATGGAAACCACATGTTTGAGACTGTTCCAAGAATTCCATTCCAGCCATTACAATGAGCCCGTCCTGCTATAGCGCCTCCCACCAGCCTCTTCTGGTGGACTGGTATGTGTAAATCTCTGATTCTCAATGGTGTCTACATTGGGACATTAGCGGCTAGACCTATCAGACCACCAGTGTTATAGCGATAGACTTGGACAATAACCTTATCAATGGGGGAAACCAGGCCAAAGTAATCAATAAGTGGTCTGAAAGGTCTGTTCATTTAACTTCTGCTTTGACTGGAAACAGCAAGCGACAAAAATCATGCTGTGACATGCCCTGGACATTGATCTGGTGTCATGTGTGACTCAGTTGGTGGAGCATGGCGCTTGTAATGCCAGGGTTGTTCGTTCGATTCCCATGGGGGACCAGTACTTAAATGTACGCACCCACTACTGTAAGTCACTCTGGATAAGAGCGTCTTCTAAATGACTAAAATGTAAACATTGAAGTATCTATCCGATGACAGACTATCATATATACTGTACAATCAGGTACTGTCTGGAAAAAGTATCCCAAAACAGCGGCTGCGGAGTGGGGTGCTGCCCCACCATTTGCAAACAGTTGCCGAGTGTCTATCACGGACCTATTAGTGTCAGCCAATGAAAGTGAAACGTTACCCAGACACTGGTTGGCAACAGCGACCATGCTGAGTCAACACACTTATTCATGTGACTGTGTCTTGTCTTACAGTTTGTCACCCACTTGCCAGAGCCCAACTTTACTGAGCCCATGCAGCCCCTGCAGCCCCTTACAAACCCTACATCCCTGGAGGTAAGAAAGACAGCCCACATACAGTACACAGCCACACAAGTGGCTTGAGAACAGATCCTGTGAGGGACATGGGCGGCAGGTAGCCTATCAGTTAAGAGCGTTCGGACAGTAACTGAAAGTTTGCTGGTTCGAAATCCCGAGCCGAATAGGTGAAACATCTGTTGATGTGCCCTTGAGCAAGGCACTTAACCCTAATTTCTCCTGTAAGTTGCTCTGGATAAGAGCGTCTGCTAAATGACTAGCTAAAATGTAACATTTAATTATGAAGATAGTGCTTTAAAGCAGACGTAGATTTACAGAAAGTATTTTTGCTTATTTCATTTGACTGATGAAAGTCCTACATTTTTCAATCTCTGAACCATACATATTGTTTGGATAAAATGTTGCAACGTACAAAATGAAGCTGCTATTAAATGTCTTAACTATTGGAAGTCATTTGGAGGAAAGGTTACAGTGGGGGGAAAAAAGTATTTAGTCAGCCACCAATTGTGCATGTTCTCCCACTTAAAAAGATGAGAGAGGCCTGTAATTTTCATCATAGGTACACGTCAACTATGACAGACAAAATGAGAAAAAAAATCCAGAAAATCACATTGTAGGACTTTTAATGAATTTATTTGCAAATTATGGTGGAAAATAAGTATTTGGTCAATAACAAAAGTTTCTCAATACTTTGTTATATATCCTTTGTTGGCAATGACACAGGTCAAACGTTTTCTGTAAGTCTTCACAAGGTTTTCACACACTTGCTGGTATTTTGGCCCATTCCTCCATGCAGATCTCCTCTAGAGCAGTGATGTTTTGGGGCTGTCGCTGGGCAACACGGACTTTCAACTCCCTCCAAAGATTTTCTATGGGGTTGAGATCTGGAGACTGGCTAGGCCACTCCAGGACCTTGAAATGCTTCTTACGAAGCCACTCCTTCGTTGCCCGGGCGGTGTGTTTGGGATCATTGTCATGCTGAAAGACCCAGCCACGTTTCATCTTCAATGCCCTTGCTGATGGAAGGAGGTTTTCACTCAAATTCTCACGATACATGGCCCCATTCATTCTTTCCTTTACACGGATCAGTCGTCCTGGTCCCTTTGCAGAAAAACAGCCCCAAAGCATGATGTTTCCACCCCCATGCTTCACAGTAGGTATGGTGTTCTTTGGATGCAACTCAGCATTCTTTGTCCTCCAAACACGAGTTGAGTTTTTACCAAAAAGTTCTATTTTGGTTTCATCTGACCATATGACATTCTCCCAATCCTCTTCTGGATCATCCAAATGCACTCTAGCAAACTTCAGACGGGCCTGGACATGTACTGGCTTAAGCAGGGGGACACGTCTGGCACTGCAGGATTTGAGTCCCTGGCGGCGTAGTGTGTTACTGATGTTAGGCTTTGTTACTTTGGTCCCAGCTCTCTGCAGGTCATTCACTAGGTCCCCCCGTGTGGTTCTGGGATTTTTGCTCACCGTTCTTGTGATCATTTTGACCCCACGGGGTGAGATCTTGCGTGGAGCCCCAGATCGAGGGAGATTATCAGTGGTCTTGTATGTCTTCCATTTCCTAATAATTGCTCCCACAGTTGATTTCTTCAAACCAAGCTGCTTACCTATTGCAGATTCAGTCTTCCTAGCCTGGTGCAGGTCTACAATTTTGTTTCTGGTGTCCTTTGACAGCTCTTTGGTCTTGGCCATAGTGGAGTTTGGAGTGTGACTGTTTGAGGTTGTGGACAGGTGTCTTTTATACTGATAACAAGTTCAAACAGGTGCCATTAATACAGGTAACGAGTGGAGGACAGAGGAGCCTCTTAAAGAAGAAGTTACAGGTCTGTGAGAGCCAGAAATCTTGCTTGTTTGTAGGTGACCAAATACTTATTTTCCACCATAATTTGCAAATAAATTCATTAAAAATCCTACAATGTGATTTTCTGGATTTGTTTTTCTCAATTTGTCTGTCATAGTTGACGTGTACCTATGATGAAAATTACAGGCCTCTCTCATCTTTTTAAGTGGGAGAACTTGCAGAATTGGTGGCTGACTAAATACTTTTTCCCCCCCACTGTATCTGTGCTTATGGTGGAAAAAACAAAACATCTTAGTTGTCTTTCCAGCCTATGTGGGTTGTCTGGCAACCCCCAATGGTGCACTGCAGAGGAAAGAAACTGATTTGGCAAACAGAAGCTGCATCCAGCATGCTATGTAGCGAGCACTAGGTTATTTTAATATATAGCGAGAAATCATATCTGTATCTTGATAATTTGGCAAAACTACCAAGAATGTTGTTCAGTTCTGTTAACAGAGGAACTGTTGATATTTTAAGATTACAGATGAACTTCATTTTAGTTTAAATTAAATTATTTATTTGATCACCAGCCAAGATTCTTCTATTTTACAGTGTTGTGCATCAATTTGTTTCTCTATACTATCCTGAAATCTCTACACCAACCATTCCTTACCCTTAACTCAATTAAAGTTTTATCAAGGCCTTGATCCAACTGTAAAACTATTTTGGCCTCCCACCATGCACCATATCATACAGGCAGCCAAAATATCATATGACATCTCTTCTCATCCTTCTCTACTGGCCTCAAGTTATGGCTCAGCTAAAATTCCAAACTCTACTTTTAGTTAGTAGGAATGCACCTAATGTAGAGGAGAGTGGGGTAAGTTGAGCCATTTTTGACATTCAGCATCACTACGTCAAGGGAAATATAGTATTCGTTCAAACAAAGAGATCTGCATATATTTCAGGAGGTTGTGTATCCCTGGAAATAATCAGAATTTATGTAAACATAACAGTTTTGAAAACCATAGCTTGTCCAAAAAAAGTGGTCTCTTGGCACAACTTACCCCGAGTATGGGGTAAATTGAGCATAGGGACAGGGTAAGTTGAGCCACCTTGGAGTAAGTGGGTGAAGGTGTCCTGTTACAGTGGATGATGGTGCTTGTAGGTCAAAGTTTAATTCATGGAATGGGGGTGTGGTATATTGTATAACTGAAATGCACAGTATGCCTACATTCAGATCAAGATCTTTCTGTTCAATATCACTTACCCTTCCGTTTTTTGTAGTGCTGAGCATTTAACTGTCATTTTTGTTATTTTTTGTTTTTTAAACAACTATTATTTGAAATACATTATGCATAAAACGAACTAAATGTAATCATAATTTGTATGTTGAATTGTGGCCATTGGCTCAATTTACCCCAAGGCAAACATTTGGACTATATTAAGGATGCACTTTCATGCTAGGTTTAGGACCTCATATTGTAGCTTATAGAGACCCCAACTGATGTATAAAACAATCTTAAAACGGTCTACTTTGGTTTAGATAGAAGCATCATGAAACCTATAACACAATAAATTCATTTGACTTAGTGAAAATCTGTTTTTTGGATCTAACTTGCTTACCACCATGTGGTTTCTTCATTCACAGGCTCCATGAAATGATGAGCTCTTCCTAAGTATTTGGTCACATGATACATTTTATGTATGGTTTCCTAGAAACAAGGGGTGGCTCAACTAACTCTTTGGCTCAATTTACCCCACACTCCCCTACCTGTAATCTTCTAACAAATCCCATCTCTGGTCCTGCCACATAATCTCGGATTGCATAGCTGCTCCTGTGCAGAATAGACCCCATGCTCCCTAGCAATAAGTACACTATAAAGTTGCTTGTCATCTCCAGGAAAATGACGGTATCGGCTAGACGCCCACCAATATCTTTGGCACCCCTAACCAGGATAACATTTCAACCGCTGATCAGTAGCCTGAAGCTCTTCCATAGACCTAGGGTCATCCCACAAATTAAAAGACAGCAGAGGTGCATACTGTATCCAGGGAAAGACACACCACTTCCATTAAGAGCTTGGCATCCCTAACCTGGATAGCACTGCCCCCTCCCATAGCCATAGCTCATCCACAGCTGCAACACTGTCTATCTTGAGTGCACTTGATCATGACATTTGCACTGTTGTGGATGCGTTTTACACACTCACTTGAGATTTTTATCAACTGCTCACCTAACATTTTCTTTGTCATTATTTGAAAGGTGCACTATGGAGAAAGGAGAAAAGCATCCTCTTACTGAAATAATGTGACTACACTAGTACACTTGCATGCAATATACACTGATTGTACAAAACAATATTGAGTTGTTCAATTCATCAGGGCATGGACTCTAGAAGGTGTCGAAAGCGTTCCACAGGGATGCTGGCCCATGTTGACTCCAATGCTTCTCACAGTTGTGTCAAGTTGGCTGGATGTCCTTTGGGTGGTGGACCACTCTTGATACACACGGGAAACTGTTGAGCATGAAAGATCCAGCAGTGTCGCAGTTCTTACATTTTAGTCATTTAGCAGACGCTCTTATCCAGAGCGACTTACAGTTAGTGAGTGCATACATTTTTCATTCTGGCCCCCACGGGAATCGAACCCACAACCCTGGTGTTGCAAGCGCCATGCTCTACCAACTGAGCTACAGGAGGCTTGACACAAACTGTTGCACCTGGCACCAACTACCATACCCCGTTCAAAGGCACTTCAATCTTTTGTCTTGCCCATTTACGCTCTGAATGGCACACATACAGTGGGGGAAAAAGTATTTAGTCAGCCACCAATTGTGCAAGTTCTCCCACTTAAAAAGATGAGAGAGGCCTGTAATTTTCATCATAGGTACACGTCAACTATGACAGACAAAATGAGAAATAAAATTCCAGAAAATCACATTGTAGGATTTTTTATGAATTTATTTGCAAATTATGGTGGAAAATAAGTATTTGGTCAATAACAAAAGTTTCTCAATACTTTGTTATATACCCTTTGTTGGCAATGACACAGGTCAAACGTTTTCTGTAAGTCTTCACAAGGTTTTCACACACTGTTGCTGGTATTTTGGCCCATTCCTCCATGCAGATCTCCTCTAGAGCAGTGATGTTTTGGGGCTGTCGCTGGGCAACACGGACTTTCAACTCCCTCCAAAGATTTTCTATGGGGTTGAGATCTGGAGACTGGCTAGGCCACTCCAGGACCTTGAAATGCTTCTTACGAAGCCACTCCTTCGTTGCCCGGGCGGTGTGTTTGGGATCATTGTCATGCTGAAAGACCCAGCCACGTTTCATCTTCAATGCCCTTGCTGATGGAAGGAGGTTTTCACTCAAAATCTCACGATACATGGCCCCATTCATTCTTTCCTTTACACGGATCAGTCGTCCTGGTCCCTTTGCAGAAAAACAGCCCCAAAGCATGATGTTTCCACCCCCATGCTTCACAGTAGGTATGGTGTTCTTTGGATGCAACTCAGCATTCTTTGTCCTCCAAACACGACGAGTTGAGTTTTTACCAAAAAGTTCTATTTTGGTTTCATCTGACCATATGACATTCTCCCAATCCTCTTCTGGATCATCCAAATGCACTCTAGCAAACTTCAGACGGGCCTGGACATGTACTGGCTTAAGCAGGGGGACACGTCTGGCACTGCAGGATTTGAGTCCCTGGCGGCGTAGTGTCTTACTGATGGTAGGCTTTGTTACTTTGGTCCCAGCTCTCTGCAGGTCATTCACTAGGTCCCCCCGTGTGGTTCTGGGATTTTTGCTCACCGTTCTTGTGATCATTTTGACCCCACGGGGTGAGATCTTGCGTGGAGCCCCAGATCGAGGGAGATTATCAGTGGTCTTGTATGTCTTCCATTTCCTAATAATTGCTCCCACAGTTGATTTCTTCAAACCAAGCTGCTTACCTATTGCAGATTCAGTCTTCCCAGCCTGGTGCAGGTCTACAATTGTGTTTCTGGTGTCCTTTGACAGCTCTTTGGTCTTGGCCATAGTGGAGTTTGGAGTGTGACTGTTTGAGGTTGTGGACAGGTGTCTTTTATACTGATAACAAGTTCAAACAGGTGCCATTAATACAGGTAACGAGTGGAGGACAGAGGAGCCTCTTAAAGAAGAAGTTACAGGTCTGTGAGAGCCAGTAATCTTGCTTGTTTGTAGGTGACCAAATACTTATTTTCCACCATAATTTGCAAATAAATTCATTAAAAATCCTACAATGAGATTTTCTGGAAAAAAAATTCTCAATTTGTCTGTCATAGTTGACGTGTACCTATGATGAAAATTACAGGCCTCTCTCATCTTTTTAAGTGGGAGAACTTGCACAATTGGTGGCTGACTAAATACTTTTTTCCCCCACTGTACATAATCCATGTCGCAATTGTCTCAAGGCTTAACAATCCTTCTTTAACCTGTCTTCTCCCCTTCATCTACACTGATTGAAGTGGATTTAACAAGTGACATCAATAAAGGATCATAGCTTTCACATGGATTCAACTGGTCGGGGGGGGGGATATATCTGGAAAAGGGAAGGAACACTCGTAAACTAACACTCACACTGGATAAGAGCATCTGCTAAATGACTCAAATGTAATGTAAATGTACTGACAATTTATATTAACATGACATTTATAATGAAAACTAAAAAGTTTTATCCTATATTGATGATCTCCCAGTTCCTTGCAAAACTGATATTCGTCTTGCATTTTTGTGAAATATGAGATCCTTATGTTTTAATGCTCAACACAAGAATGGAAGCAGCAATTGGTTTTAAATGTAACTATTTAAAGAAGCCTATGTCAGAGGAACAGTCTCAAATTGGTTTTACCCTAACCTTATAGGCCTATGCCTACCTCATACAGCGCCTTGCAAATGTATTCATCCCCCTTGGCGTTTTTCCTATTTTGTTGCGTTACAACCTGTAATTTAAATTGATTTTTATTGGGGATGTTTTTCATCGGCAGGGACTGAGAAACTGGTCAGAATTGAAGGAATGATGGATGGCGCTAAAGCAACAGTCAAGTGGTTTAAGGGGAAACATTTAAATGTCTTAGAATGGCCTAGTCAAAGCCCAGACCTTAATGCAATTGAGAATCTGTGGTATGACTTAAAGTTTGCTGTACACCAGCGGAACCCATCCAACTTGAAGGAGCTGAAGCAGTTTTGTCTTGAAGAATGGGCAAAAATCCATTTTAATTCCAGGTTGTAAGGCAACAAAATAGGAAAAATGCCAAGGGGGGTGAATACTTTTGCAAGCCACTGTAGATGTTTTTTATTCAAGTGTTATTGAATTTATTCATCCATTTGATGCCATACATTTCAGAGGCAATACATTTGTATTTATTTGCATTTATTTATTTATTCATTTATTTTATTTCATCTTGAGTATGTGGTATTTAATTAGGCTATTTACTAATTTATCTTCATTTATTTATATATTTCATTTTGAGTACTTTGGTCCTCCATAATGTAATGGGCTTTTACATTGTGGATAAGGAGGTCGTGAGAAAATGTGCATGAAGAGGGGACCAGGAAGATGGCGGAAGTGGATGCTGTGTTCGAATCAAGCAGTGAGTCGAGCAAATTTGGTGAAGATGAATGCTCTGAATGGACAACAGTAGTATTGTAAAACTGGAACAAAAAGGAAATAGTCTAAAATTGGAGTGGAGGATACGTGTGTGATATTGAATCGCTTTTTGTTGGGATGCATTTGTTGAGTAAGGATGCATACAGTGCCTTCGGTAAGTATTCAGACCCCTTGACTTTTTCCACATTTTGTTACGTTACAGACTTTTTCTAAAATGGATTAAATAAAACATTTCCCACAGCAATCTACACACAGTACCCCATAATGACAAAGCGAAAACAGGTTTTTAGAAATTTTAGCACATCTTATAAAATAAAATAAACTGAAATACCTTATTTACATAAGTATTCAGACCCTTTGCTATGCCAATCGAAATTGAGCTCAGGTGCATCCTGTTTCCATTGATCATCCTTGAGATGTTTCTACAACTTGATTGGAGTCCACCTGTGGTAAATTCAATTGATTGGACTTGATTTGGAAAGGGACACACCTGGCTATATAAAGTCCCACAGTTGACAGTGCATGTCAGAGCAAAAACCAAGCCATGAGGTCGAAGAAATTGTCCCTAGAGCTCCGAGACAGGATTGTGTCGAAGCACACAAAAAATATTGAAGCATTGAAGTTTCCTAAGAACACTGTGGCCTCCATCATTCTTAAATGGAAGAAGTTTGGAATCACCAAGACTCTTCCTAGAGCTGGCCGCTCGGCCAAATGGAGCAATCGGGGGAGAAGGGCCTTGGTCAGGGAGGTGACCAAGAACCCGATCGTCACTCTGACAGAGGTCTAGAGTTCCTCTGTGGAGATGGGAGAACCTTCCAGAAGGACAACCATCTCTGCAGCACTCCACCAATCAGGCCTTTATGGTAGAGTGGCCAGACGGATGCTACTGCTCAGTAAAAGGCACATGACAGCCCACTTGGAGTTTGCCAAAAGGCACCTAAAGACTCTCAGACCATGAGAAACAAGATTCTCTGGTCTGATGAAACCAAGATTGAACTCTTTGGCCTGAATGCCAAGTGTCACGTCTGGAGGAAACCTGGCACCATCCCTACGGTGAAGCATGGTGGTGTCAGCATCATACTGTGAGGATGTTTTTCAGCGGCAGGGACTGGGAGACTAGTCAGGATCGAGGGAAAGATGAATGGAGCAAAGTACAGAGAGATCCTTGATGAAAACTTGCTCCAGAGCGCTCAGGACCTCAGACTGGGTCGAAGGTTCACATTCCAACAGGACAACGATGCTAAGCACACAGCCAAGACAACGCAGGAGTGGCTTCGGGATAAGTGTCTGAATGTCCTTGAGTGGCCCAGTCAGAACCTGGACTTGAACCCGATCGAACATCTCTGGAGAGACCTGAAAATAGCTGCGCAGCAACGCTATGCAGCAACACTCCCCATCCAACCTGATAGAGGATCTGCATAGAAGAATGGGAGAAACTTCCCAAATACAGGTGTGCCAAGCTTGTGGCATCATACCCAAGAAGACTCAATGCTGTAATCGCTGCCAAAGGTGCTTCAACAAAGTACTGAGCAAAGGGTCTGAATACTTATGTAAATGTGATATTTCTGGGGGTTTTAAAATACATTTGCAAACATTTCTAAAAACCTGTTTTTGCTTTCTCAATGGGGTATTGTGTGTAGATTGATGAGGGGGGGGAAACAATTTAATCAATTTTAGAATAAGGCTGTAACATAACCAAATATGGAAAAAGTCAAGGGGTCTGAATACTTTCTGAAGGCACTGTATGTGGAAAACCTGTTTGAGATGTCGAAAATGGTGGAGTATGCGCTTGGAAAAGTGGAGTCCATCAGAGTGACTAGGAGTGGTCTTATTTTGAAGAGCAGAGGAAGATTGCAGTGGGCCTCAAAAGAATCCAGACAACATAAGTTTTGTGTTTTGATCTTTGGAGCAGGGACGGCCTGTTCAATAGGGCGATATGGGCGACGCACTGCCAAACGGGAAAAGGAAGGGATTTTTTTTCTAATCAATTATATCACGGCAACAGTAGTTATCAGTGTTGTAATCTATACGTCTGATCTGCCACAGTGCCACACTGCCACTAAATGTCGAATCAGGCTAAAGTCGTGCTTCAAATGGCTCCACCCCCTTTTGGGGCGATTTCAGTCAGATTGAAAATCGCCCAGAACTTCTGTCATAGACTCCCATGTAAAATCTATTTTTTTTCAAATTTCAGAGCCTTCAATACAATCTCAATGGGTGTCTGTGGGCTTGCACTTACGCGCTTTCGTCATACGTTACGTAACCATGAACGTAACTGAGAAAAGAGTGGATTGTTTGAAAGAAGTTCCTTTTTGTCGGCGAACATATGAAGATAAATTGGCAACGAAACAATTAGGACCTCCCAGACCAAATTTAATAATTCAACAGGTTTCTACTAAAGGCGGAAAGTCCTACACCCGAGGATTTTCCAAAAATTGGTACGAACGAAAAAAGACATTGCCACTCACTCAACTGGATGACGAGGGATACAGGCTAGCTGTCCGCCGCCACAACGATGAGGTTAGTGTTGATAATCACAAGTTTACTGGATGTGGATATGGTGTAATAAAGGCAGTTTATTCAGAGGTAAATATATCTGGAATCGCGTTCACGGACCCGTTCGTCAAACTCTTAGGGAGCTATAAATTAAGCCCCATTACTTACCATATCAGATAAGAGAAATTGCTGCAGCTACATATATTTTACATCCTGGCCCTACATAGTTCACTATTTGCATCACTTACCAAAATATTACATGTGGTCATATATGCTTGGAAAGTGGAGATGCCATAGAACGTCAAAAAAGTAAACATTGCTGGAGACACATTGCCGTTTTGGAGAAGACATCGCGTTTGCTAGCGAAGAGATTTGTTGTGGCAAATGAACTTGGGCTGGGAATTGCCAGGAACCTCACGATAAGATATATGCATCAGCATTGCGAGTCTCATGATTCTATACGTATTGCGATTCGATACTGTGATTTTATTGCGCACCATATGTCTGTTGCAGAGGGATCAGAAAGCCATGAGAACGAGTTTTGATCAGTCATGGAAATAAAAGTGCTGAAAACAAATTGGCTCCCAATGTGAAAAGATTGAGAACAAGCTATGAAGGAACAATAATGGTGTTTTGGTGCAGGTACAGCCAACTAGCGCTAAAATATTGCGATATTGTCAATACAGTATATCGTAAAGTATCACTATGTAACTCGATTTCTTTCACCCCAATCCCTCAAATTAACGGTAAATAACTGAATTGTTTGCCCCACATTTAGCTAAGATGATTAGCTAGCCAGCTAAAATGTTTTAGTTAGTTAGCAGTCGCATCTACAATAGTTTACTGTCAATAACATGTCTCCAAAAATGACGTGGTGTCTCCAATTGTGTTGACATTTTACAATTGCAATGCGCATCCATGAGTATCCACTTTCTGTAGCTCAGCTGGTAGAGCATGGTGCTTGTAACGCCAAGGTAGTGGGTTCGATCCCCGGGACCACCCATACACAAAAATGTATGCACGCATGACTGTAAGTCGCTTTGGATAAAAGCGTCTGCTAAATGGCATATTATTATTATTATTATTATTATTATTATTATTATTATTATTATCTGAAGAGAGCCCCGAAACATTGTGTGCAGACATTTTATGCAATAAATGAAGTAGGTTCAATCTAGTAGTTCTGATCTTCTGATTGGTCCTGATGAGTTGGGCGAGGTCCCCTGCAGGCTACTGTCACTGTTGCATTGGCTCTGAGTCGGGTTCTCTGTCTTCAAATGTTCAGCCTAAGAGAGGGGATTTTTGTGTGTGTGTGTGTGTGTGTGTGTGTGTGTGTGTTTAACAGTGATGATGTGTGTGTGTGTGTGTGTGTTTAACAGTGATGATGTGTGTGTGTGTGTGTTTGTGTGTGTGTGTGTCCTCAGAGCAAGAACTCCTGAGTTGGAAGAACTGAGAGGCCTATGGCGTGGGTGTTGTCCTTGGCCACCTGCTGACAAGGCTGACAAGATAGGACCCTTTTGTCCATTGTTATTGGATAGGAACAGAACTTATAACCAGCTCCTGACCTAAATAGATCTTAGCACAACATTTTACTCAACATATCATATTCCATATTCACTATAACAAATATATTTACTACGACATTAGCAAGAACCGCCACATCCTCAGCCGGCTAATCCAGTGTGTGAAGTTTTGCGGAGTGTTTGAGTTAGCTTTGCGAGGCAAAGATGAAACTGAGGGCTCCACCAACCCTGGTAAGCCAACACTTTTGAGATCAGTCAATAAATGCTTCTGGTATTGACTTATATGCTGCCCCTGTCTTCATGTTGTTGCTGGACATATCTTTTTTTAAATGTGTGTAGGTCACCTAAATCATCAGAAAAATTGCCCCTCCTGAGAATTTTTTCAGGAGCCGCCACTGCTTTGGAGTAGAGTACCCGTCAAAGGAGTCATCTCAGGGGTGACGACTGATGTTCAGGTTGAATACCTGAAGAGAATTCCTGGTGTGGTTGGTGCCCGACGTCTCACCCCCTGGGTGAATGGAGAAAAAGAAAAAGTCTGTCGGTCCTGTTGTTTTTTGATAAAGACCAAATACCTACGCATGTTAATCTTGGTTACGTAAGATACGCCGTAAGAGCTTTCGTCCCCCAACCACTGCAGTGTAAGAATTGTAAAGGATTTGGCCATGTTTCAAGTGTGTGCCGAAAAACGGAGTATACTGAAGAACGGTGTGTAGAAGACGACGTGTTGCAATTGTGGTGGGGATCATGATCCTGAGTGCCATGTAAGGGTGAAGGAGATTGAGGTGGCAAAAGTTAGAGCGGTCAATCGAATATCCTATGCAGAAGCGATTTAAAATAATCGAGAGAACAAGTGATGCTAGTGAAGATATCGTAGTGGATGCACCACAGCATGTAGTAAATGTTTGCTGGCCGACAAAATATACCCTGTGTTAAAAATATGGATTTTGTTGCGTTCATTGCCACAGTTATAAACTGAACAGCACAAGTCTCAAAGAAGTCTGTAAGTCGCTCTGGATAAGAGCGTCTGCTAAATGACTAAAAATGTAAATGTAAAAGTCTAAGAAACCGGACATTATTGAGGCTGCGGCAGAAAAGTTTTTGGGACTTAAGGATTTTACACATGAAGACATGCAAGGGGTACTGGTGCCGGAAGACCCGCCCTCCCATGTTCCCCTTGAGCCTGTGTAGGGATCAGATCTATTGTTTGATTTATTTATTTAATTAATTTTTTGTTAGTTTGTTCATTTTGGGGGGGAATCCTGTTTCCATCCCGCATAGTAGGTTGTGTGATCGCCAATATACTGAAGAAGAAGAAGAAGAAAAAATGGGCATGAACCACTTTTGGTAGCATAGGGGCACCTCGGGGCTTTCAAGAGGTTATCCCCTTACCCACTTCACATGAACGACTATGGTATATCCCAACTACATCGATTACCTGAACTTACGTCATCGTCCCAACAATTCGTTTCAAGCGTCGTAGTAGTCTACTGTGTGTGTGTATGGTAGGTCACTAAAGTGAACTATGTAGTACTGGCAGCAGAGAGAGTTAGCAGCCTATGAATGTTCACCAGGATCACTAACTAGAGACAGTTAACCAACCAACAGATGTAGGTGCTTGGATATGAGGCAAAAGAAAGCGACGGTGGAACCGAAAGCTGGCTTCATCAATCATGAAGGAGTTTAATGAGGTTGTGAGTCTAGCTAACTGGCTAACTAGTCCAACACAAAAGACTTCCACAGCGATGGAGGGTCTACCCGGGATTTTGTTGCTTCCATTCTCGGGTCCTGTATCTACCGTTTAGAATTCTCTGTTCTTTTGGATCGGAATTAGCGTTATTTTTCGTTCTAAACAACATCCACTATGTCGGACCCAAGTTACTGTACCACAGTGCCAATCCACAACAAGTCGCAATTTGTAACAGGAGCGATGCTAAAACGATCAAAAAGGTAGGTTGACGTAGTTATTTAACCAAGCTCAACGGCAACAAATTATTGACATTTTAATGTGTTTGTATTGTTACTTTTTAGGCTTTTTTCTTGTATTGGCCTGGCGTTCTCAGACAAGTCTCTGAAAGAACCCGTCTATGGTGCAGATGGACATCCTAGATGGACACATTGACCGCAACATTTTTGCATTGTGTCCATTGCACACATTCAGGAATAATGTAATACAAATTTTCTCGTTACGTTGTAACTAATAACATAGCTGATGTTGACGCGTCATTGGCTCGTAAATTTGCTTTGCCGGGTTGTTTTTGTTTCAGAGCGTGCAACTAGGTAAACTTGGCCAGTGCATAGAGAATTGGCTGTTGTGAATATTTATCGTTTGCTACAGTACAGTTATGGAAATGTTTAAGTCTGTAATATTGTTTGTTAGAAGGAGAAGGGAACAAAATCTAAGTACACCTACAGTCCTTGTGAGATTCAAAACAATGATACTATGCAGAATAAACACACATTCCTGTTTCACGGGGCATTTTGTGTTGTTCACTGCTGTGTCCTTTGCAAACCATCCTAGATCTGGTAGGCCTGTGGTCTATGACAGTATCTACTCCTCATTGGTCAGTAAGTGATGCTATTCTGTCCTTTTATATTGACCCTTATTGTTCCCCTTCTGCTCAAATCGAGGAGATGATTCACTTGACTCCTCCTCCCAGTCTTTATCATAAACTGTCTGTGTCTGTCTGTGTGCCTCCTGTTGATACACAAAACCTATGCTTAAAGTGAAATGCATGCGTTTCCCCCCTCATATTTTGTTGCTTCACAGTTAACAACAAAATACATTTGCAATTGTGTTGCTTTTGGTTATATTGAACTGGCAACCTATTAAATACTCAAGCACCCCTTTTGTTTTTTACATCGACCTGTCCTGTTGCTTATGGCAAGTATTGGTTGCTGCCTTTCAAAGCCAGTTAAGCGCGTTAAAAGCGGTGCATCTTTGCCACTCTCAGAATAGAAACAAACCTGTTTTTGATTCTCGTTTTTCCACTCTATGCATAGACTGGTATATTTGTAGTGCTTGAATACCTTTTTATGACATCACTTTTTTGTCATGTTTGACAAACGTCTTATTAATCTGTCCTGTTGTGTTCCAGCCCTGTAATTCATTCCCACAAGTGTCAGTCTCTAGTCATCATAGGTTTCCGGGCACTGCAGGTTAACAACAACACGATGCCAACACTGCATGACGCGGCATAGCAGAGCTGCTTTGATATACTTCTTAATGGCAGGGCATAGCATGGCAGTGACTGTGAGAATGGTAGACTGACTACAATAGATGGATGGATGAAGGCCTTGAGTAGGCCACATCGATTATTTAGGTGGGCCTAAACCTTAATTTGTTGTGATATTGGTTGAGGGTAAATGCTCTTTGGCCTCTGGTTTGTTTCAGTCAAAGGAATAGGTGTGCCTCTCTTGTCCTTTTGCAATCTGTAATAGTAGTCTGTAATGCTCTCTGGATGTACTGAAGGCTGTGGACAGAATGTGTGTGGACACTTCTGTCCTTTTTTTCCAGAAAATATTTTCTCTGTGCTACCCTTCCCTGCTGTGTAGGTTGTCTAGCCTGCTAGTAGTTCATGACTTCTGGATTTGGGCTACAAATCCTCAGTCAGTTGTTGCAGCCTGGTTCGGCAGTGTTAGCCTGAATGTTGCATAACAAAGGTGATCTAATCATATGCCAAAGTTTTATTTTTATTTTCCCAAAGTGTGTTGAACTATTCCTGTTATTTACAAAGCGGCACTAACTCATGTTTTTAAGCACTGCAAGATGGATGACTGAAGTGTTTTGGTGTAGCTGGTGACTGACATCTCTATTCCTGTTTGTGTTTCACAGTTGCCGGAGCAGCAACAGGAAGAGTCTTGGTGTGGGGACACCGTCGCCCACTCTGTCACGCCCTCTCTCCCCGCTCTCCGTCCACACCGGTAAGAACCATCACAGGAACAGAAGTTTGTCTCCAACGTATTGTTTTTGTGGCCTATACTACACTATGTAGACCTATGCCCTCACATTGACACATTTGAATGTTTCAGAGTAGGCTGTACTACTACGACATAGCAGGTGCAAATATCAATATTTTGGATTTGTCACGGTACCGTTGGGGCCTCAAAGCATTTGTAGATTTATGCTGTGCTGATTGTGGAAAGGAAGGAGGAGAAATAAATCTGATTTGGCAGGAGAAAATTCAAAAGTTGGCTCTTCGGTAAAGGGGTGGGTTTTGGTGTTCCCCCTCAGCATTTGAATCAATGGGAGTGTATATCACTCGTAGTTGTCAAGCAGGTGCACCCTATAAATAGAGTTCTGTACGAGGGCAGACACTCTCTTTCAAGTTAAATTATGTTGAGGCTTATCTTATTAGGTGGTACAATTAAGCGTTAATTTGGTTTACAGTTGCTTAATTGGTAACAAACCGCTCGCGTATTAATGAACTCTTGTGTCTCGAGTACAAAACAATCCACTCACCGTCAAAGACAAAACTAAATTCTACATTACAACGGCGCATAGACTCCTCTCCATTAATGCCCTTTGATGGTAACTGCTGCTTTGTTTGGCACCCTACACCAGACCTATTTAAGATATTATTCAGTCTAGCGACTTGCAGTAGCTGAGACATGCCTCCCTCCATAGAGTTTGCTTCATCCTTATTCAAAATATTTAAAAAAGGGTTTTGCTACAAAGCTTTAATTACTTATTCCTGTTATCCAAGCTTAATTTACTGTAATGATGGTAATCATCCCTTGTTTTTTTTAGCTGCAAGCAGTCCCCTAGACAGCCCCCGGAATGTATCCACCTGTGCCTCCCTCAACTTCCCATTCGCTCGCAGGTATGTTGGGACCCTGCTACACTTAAGCTCTGGATGTTTATTTGTGTGGGTTTGTCTGAGTTCTAAGGGCCATTTTCCTCTACCTTCAGATCAGACTTACTCTAGAGTAGTAGACCAGTCTTTCTCCACCTCTCTTGCACCTGGTCCTCATCCTTTGAAAACCATTTATGTTAATCAAACACAGAAAAGCGTTTCGTTATTGATTGACCGACCAGTGTCGTTGCACGCACGAGGTCGAGAAACAGTCGGCTCCTCTAATTCCTCCCCTTCAACGTTTGCTTGCTCGCGTCCCTCTTGCCATTTGCTGTGGGTTTAACAATGATGTCACACTCAACGCATTGCCAGCATTTTAGTTCAAAGCAAGGGGAGCAGCCAAATTACAAATGCATCATGCCTGATTGCAAGTTAGTTGGTTGAGTCAGAGTGGAGATCACATCCTCCCTGCTAGGTTAGCCTGCTCCTCACTCAGCAAGAGGAACTGCCCCTCCCTACCTTCAGGCTATGCTCAAATCCTACACTCCAACCCGAGCACTCTGTTCTGCCACCTCTGGTCTCTTGGAACCTCCTACCCCTATGAGGGGCCGGCTCTTCTCTTTCCTGGCACCCAAATGGTGGAACAAGCTTCCCCCCAAAGTTAGGGAAGTATACTGCACAACACTAACACCCTTGCCTTTTTTGCACTAACACTCACGCTTGTCTTTTCTTACTAGCACTGACTTTGTTGATAATTGCTTTATTGAGGAAAAGTTTTACTTACTATGACTGTGATATATCTTTTTTTCACCTAGCTACCTTAAGATGAATGCACTAACTTTAAGTCACTCTGGATAGTAGCGACTTAACCATTTTCAACCAATCTGCTAACCTCACAGCAAGAGGCTTTCTGGTCCAGTGTGGGTCCATACAGTAGGACACATTGATGTAGCTGTGTGTATGCAGTAGCAGTGCGTGGGTAAAATCACAGGAAGCCAAGCCAAAAAGAAAAGCCATATTACAACCTACAGTGGGGAGAACAAGTATTTGATACACTGCCGATTTTGCAGGTTTTCCTACTTACAAAGCATGTGGAGGTCTGTAATTTTTATTATAGGTACACTTCAACTGTGAGAGACGGAATCTAAAACAAAAATCCAGAAAATCACATTGTATAATTTTTAAGTAATTAATTTGCATTTTATTGCAAGTATTTGATCACCTACCAACCAGTAAGAATTCCGGCTCTCACAGACCTGTTAGTTTTTCTTTAAGAAGCCCTCCTGTTCTCCACTCATTACCTGTATTAACTGCACCTGTTTGAACTCGTTACCTGTATAAAAGACACCTGTCCACACACTCAATCAAACAGACTCCAACCTCTCCACAATGGCCAAGACCAGAGAGCTGTGTAAGGACATCAGGGATAAAATTGTAGACCTGCACAAGGCTGGGATGGCCTACAGGACAATAGGCAAGCAGCTTGGTGAGAAGGCAACAACTGTTGGCGCAATTATTAGAGAATGGAAGAAGTTCAAGATGACGGTCAATCACCCTCGGTCTGGGGCTCCATGCAAGATCTCACCTTGTGGGGCATCAATGATCATGAGGAAGGTGAGGGATCAGCCCAGAACTACACGGCAGGACCTGGTCAATGACCTGAAGAGACCTGGGACCACAGTCTCAAAGAAAACCATTAGTAACACACTACACCATCATGGATTAAAATCCTGCAGCGCACGCAAGGTCCCCCTGCTCAAGCCAGCGCATGTCCAGGCCCGTCTGAAGTTTGCCAATGACCATCTGGATGATCCAGAGGAGGAATGGGAGAAGGTCATGTGGTCTGATGAGACAAATATAGAGCTTTCTGGTCTAAACTCCACTCGCCTTGTTTGGAGGAAGAAGGAGGATGAGTACAACCCCAAGAACATCATCCCAACCGTGAAGCATGGAGGTGGAAACATCATTCTTTGGGGATGCTTTTCTGCAAAAAGGACAGGACGACTGCACCGTATTGAGGGGAGGATGGATGGGGCCATGTATCGCGAGATCTTGGCCAACAACCTCCTTCCCTCAGTAAGAGCATTGAAGATGGGTCGTGGCTGGGTCTTCCAGCATGACAACGACCCGAAACACACAGCCAGGGCAACTAAGGAGTGGCTCCGTAAGAAGCATCTCAAGGTCCTGGAGTGGCCTAGCCAGTCTCCAGACCTGAACCCAATAGAAAATCTTTGGAGGGAGCTGAAAGTCCGTACTGCCCAGCGACAGCCCCGAAACCTGAAGGATCTGGAGAAGGTCTGTATGGAGGAGTGGGCCAAAATCCCTGCTGCAGTGTGTGCAAACCTGGTCAAGACCTACAGGAAACGTATGATCTCTGTAATTGCAAACAAAGGTTTCTGTACCAAATATTAAGTTCTGCTTTTCTGATGTATCAAATACTTATGTCATGCAATAAAATGCAAATTAATTACTTACAAATAATACAATGTGATTTTCTGGATTTTAGTTTTAGATTCCGTCTCTCACAGTTGAAGTGTACCTATGATAAAAATTACAGACCTCTACATGCTTTGTAAGTAGGAAAACCTGCAAAATCGGCAGTGTATCAAATACTTGTTCTCCCCACTGTATGTGTTGTGATAATTGCATTGTTTGCTCTATAACTTGTTAGTTCATATGCCTTGCGACCGTGATATACAGTACCAGTCAAAAGTTTGGACACATCTACTCAGGGGTTTCCTTTATTTTTACTATTTCCTACATTGTAGAATAATAGTGAAGACATCAAAACGATGAAATAACACGTATGGAATCATGTAGTAACCAAAATAGTGTTAAACAAATCAAAATATATTTTAGATTCTTCAAAGTAGCCACCATTTGCCTTGATGACAGCTTTGCACACTCTTGGCATTCTCACAACCAGCTTCATGAGGAGTGCTTTTCCAACAGTCTTGAAGGAGTTCCCACATATGCTGAGCACTTGTTGGCTGTTTTTCCTTCACTCTGTGGTCCAACTAATCTCAAACCATCTCAACTGGGTCGAGGTCGAGTGATTGTGGAGGCCAGGTCATCTGATTCAGCACTCCATCACTCTCCTTGGTCAAATAGCGCTTACACAGCTTGGAGGTGTGTTTTAGGTCATTGTCCTGTTGAAAAACAAATGAAAGTCCCACTAAGCGCAAACCAGATGCGATGGCGTATCGCTGCAGAATGCTGTTGTAGCCATGCTGGTTAAGTGTGCCTTGAATTCTAAATTAATCACCAACAGTGTCACCAGCAAAGCACCGCCACACGTCCTCCATGCTTCACGGTGGGAACCACACATGTGGAGATCATCCGTTCACCTACTCTGCGTCTCACAAAGACATGGGGGTTGGAACAAAAAATCTCAAATTTGGACTCATCAGACCAAAGGACAGATTTCCACCGGTCTAATGTCCATTGCTCGTGTTTCTTGGCCCAAGCAAGTCTCTTCTTCATATTGGTGTCCTTTAGTAGTGGTTTGTTTGCAGCAATTCGACCATGAAGGCCTGATTCACGCAGTCTCTCCTGAACAGTTGATGTTGAGATGTGTCTATTACTTGAACTCTGTGAAGCATTTATTTGGGCTGCAATCTGAGGTGAAGTTAACTTTAATAAACATATCCTCTGCAGCAGAAGTAACTCTGTGTTTTCCTTTCCTGTGGCGGTCCTCATGAGAGCCAGTTTCATCATAGCGCTTGATGGTTTTTGCGACATTTTCCGGATTGACTGACCTGTCTTAAAGTAATGATGGACGGTCTTTTCTCTTTGCTTATTTGAGCTGTTCTTGCCATAATATGGACTTGGTCTTTTACCAAATAGGGCTATCTTCTGTATACCAACCCTACCTTGTCACAACACAACTGATTGGCTCAAACACATTAAGAAAGAAATAAATTCCACAAATTAACTTTTAGCAAGGCACACCTGTTAATTGAAATGCATTCCAGGTGACTACCTCATGAAGCTGGTTGAGAAAATGCCAAGAGTTTGCAAAGCTGTCATCAAGGCAAAGGGTGGCTACTTTGAAGAATCTCAAATATAAAATATATTTTAATTTGTTTAACACTTTTTTGGTTACTACATGATTCCATATGTGTCATTTCATAGTTTTGATGTCTTCACTGTTATTCTACAGTCGTCAAAAGCTTTGACAATGACACAAGTATTGGTCTTCAACGTTTGCTGCTTCAGTGTTTTTAGATATTTTTGTCAGATGTTACTATGGTATACTGAAGTATAATTACAAGCATTCCATAAGTGTCAAAGGCTTTTATTGAGAATTACATTAAGTTTATGCAAAGAGTCAATATTTGCAGTGTTGACCCTTCTTTTTCAAGACCTCTGCAATCCGTCCTGGCATGCTGTCAATTAACTTCTGGGCCACATCCTGACTGATGGCAGCCCATTCTTGCATAATCAATGCTTGGAGTTTGTCAGAATTTGTGGGTTTTTGTTTGTCCACCCGCCTCTTGAGGATTGACCACAAGTTCTCAATGGGATTAAGGTCTGGGAGTTTCCTGGCCATGGACCCAAAATGTCGATGTTTTGTTCCCTGAGCCACTTAGTTATCACTTTTGCCTTATGGCAAGGTGCTACATCATGCTGGAAAAGGCATTGTTCGTTACCAAACTGTTCTTGGATGGTTGGGAGAAGTTGCTCTCGGAGAATGTGTTGGTACCATTCTTTATTCTTGGCTGTGTTCTTAGGCAAAATTGGGAGTGAGCCCACTCCCTTGGCTGAGAAGCAACCCCACACATGAATGGTCTCAGGATGCTTTACTGTTGGCATTACACAGGACTGATGGTAGCGCTCACCTTGTCTTCTCCGGACAAGCTTTTTTCCGGATGCCCCAAACAATCGGAAACGGGATTCATCAGAGAAAATGACTTTACCCCAGTCTTCAGCAGTCCAATCCCTGTACCTTTTGCAGAATATCAGTCTGTCCCTGATGTTTTTCCTGGAGAGAAGTGGCTTCCTCGCTGCCCTTTTTGACACCAGGCCATCCTCCAAAAGTATTTGCCTCACTGTGCTTGCAGATGCACTCACACCTGCCTGCTGCCACTCCTGAGCAAGCTCTGCACTGGTGGTGCCCCGATCCCGCAGCTGAATCAACTTTAGGAGACGGTCCTGGCGCTTGCTGGACTTTCTTGTGCGCCCTGAAGCCTTCTTCACAACAATTGAACCTCTCTCCTTGAAGTTCTTGATGATCCGATAAATGGTTGATTTAGGTGCAATCCTACTAGCAGCAATATCCTTGCCTGTGAAGCCCTTTTTGTGCAAAGCAATGATGACGGCATGTGTTTCCTTGCAGGTAACCAGGGCTAACAGAGGAAGAACAATGATTTCAAGCACCACCCTCCTTTTAAAGCTTCCAGTCTGTTATTCTAAGTCAATCAGCATGACAGAGTGATCTTCAGCCTTGTCCTCGTCAAAACTCTCACCTGTGTTAACGACATGATGTCAGCTGGTCCTTTTGTGGCAGGGCTCGCAAGCCTAACTTCCTTTCATCGGCAACGTTAGTTAGTTAACATTAGCCTTCTACATCTAGGTACTGTACATATTGAACTTCCATCCTCTCAGGCCAGGGGCACAATGTATGAATTTATGGTTGGCTCAGTATCGCCTTCATAATCATTGGCCAGTACGGCGAATGAAGTAAAACCAGTAAAATTAAGTAAAGTCCAAATCCCTATCGCCATCCATGGCTGATTTAGGAAAGGGACAATTTTAGCTTGCTAGCTAGCCACCGGAGGACAACAACACAACGAGATGCAACAATTTATGTAGTTTCTGTCAATTAAGTATTGCTCTCGATGTGATGTGATTGTAGGGAAGCCAAATCCAAACTGGCTTCCCTTGACACTTTTTTTTTTGGTGCGCCAGGACCATTCAGAGCTGAGTTCACTCAGTTTAGCTCAATGCTGATTGGCTATTATTTTATGGTTATTTTTTTCCAAGGGATGCCAAATGTTCGCTGGCTTCCCTTGCGCTCAAAGCAACGGGCGGCAACAATGTCATACTCTTTTTGACCAGACAGCATCAGATAAATTGCATATACTTACAGAGAGAGAGTGGCGCTTTTTCGCTTGCTCGTGTGCTTACTCCTGTGAGATACATTCAGCCTCTTGCGAATTGAAGGAAAATTATGAAACACAGAGAGATGAAAATAACTAATTTTATGTGATTTTTTTATTTTGTACATTTTTTGGGAAGCCTGCCTTCCCTTGGCATCCATGAATACACGCCACTGTGTGTGTGCAGAGATGTATAAATATAAAGTAAATGACTGTTGATTGAAGTGTGTTGATATCTTTACCATGCGTTTGATAGAGGTTGTCGTAACGTTCAACTAGGTGCTGCTCCATCCTTTAAGCTGGAGCGATTTGTTTTAAGTAGGCTTTCATCTGATCCTCCTCAAAATCACATTTGGCCAGCAATGTGCTCGCAGTTACTCAACATCCCTTAATTCACGACCCTGGCTTTTCCAGTGCAACCTGTAAACACTTAGATTCCTGATGGCAACAGCTGTCTGCAGTCTTCAACATTGGGTAGATCCTCTTAATGTGAAAACATTGGAATAAGTCTCTGATTTAGAATAAAGGCACATCACATTATTGGTTATGCAAACCTAGAGAAATTCAATTTTTCTTAACCCCCGATGTGATAGGAAAAGACATGGTTTTATACAATGTCTCTGGAAATAGGCTGAAAAATATATCCACTGGACTAGAGCCCCCGTATAATGTCAGTTGCCCATATCCCTGGTTATTACAGTAGAAAGAACAAAACTGCTCAGCAAATTTTTTTGCTCTTCAAATTCATGTTGGGCCGGTACTCTCCAAGCTAGACAAATTAAGACTGACACATAAGCCAATTGTGTCAGACTTCATTCGTCAAATTAAATGTCACAGGTCAGTGGTTCACTATCACAGTCATGTTCGGTCTAAGCATGAGACTGTAGAAAGATGAAGACTTAACCTGTAACAGTTCAAAATGTTCACCATCTCTCCCTCTTGCTTCTCTCCTGCTGTCGTGACCTCAGCCACATGGCTCGCACTGACAGGTAGTTATTTCGCTTATCCAATTGTCCTTCAGTAAGCATTTCACTGTAATGTCTGCACCTGTTGTATTCGGCGCATGTGGCCAATAAAATTTGATTTGATTTGATTCATGCTTTTCTCATGCCCTGCTTTAAATTGATAACCACATTTCCTAAAACCAAAATATAAAATCCCCTTTTCTTTCATCAGCCCAGATACATTGTGACACATATAATCCCTCAATGCATATTACATGAACAACAGAGTAATAACAAGACACAGCAAAGCTTTGTAGTGCGGGGACGACATAACGTGTTATAAGGGAGTTTGGGAGATGATATGCAAATATACAAGCTTGCATAACAATGTGTGTGTCCGTTTTTCTCCAGAGCGGAAGGCAGAAGATGGTCGCTGGCGTCCCTCCCCTCTTCCGGCTACGGAACCAATCCCCCCAGCTCCACCGTCTCTGTAAGTCTCTAAACCTCACCCCGCTCCACTCCCACAGGGGCCATATGAAACTGCAGTTTCACAACACCACATATACCATTAAACAAGATATGAATAGGATAAGATACAGTATACATCTGAGGCTGACAGAGACTATGTATGTACACTGTGACCATGTTACCAGACAGGACAAATCCTGACTGGAATTATCACCTGTCTGAATGAGTCATCATGTTTGACTCCTAGCCTGCGGTGGATAATGTCAATAGGACATGCATGTATTAAGTGTGATGTGATGGGCAAATGTTCTTTATTTGTCCTTGTAATATGATTTGATGCTTCGGGCTAATGTTCTGTATTTGTGCTCGTAATATGATTTGATGCTTCGAAGAGCATTATCAATGGTCTGGTGCCTTAGTGGTTCGCACTCAAATGCCCTCATCTTATCTTTTTTTTTTGCCTGTGAATATTGTTAGTTGTTATGCATTAACATAATCATCAGAATAAGTTGTGAACATTAAGCATTCTATAAGAGAGAAAGAAAGTGTAGGAGCTCTATAGCAGTGGAGGCTCCTCAGAGGAGGAAGGGAGGGACCACTGCTCTATTGCGACTGATGAGAGATTAGGACTCTGCTCTTCATATGCCCCAACAAACCCTAAACACAAACTCCTCTGCTCACAACTCCACCAGCATCCACGTTTCTGACAGACAGACTAACTTGGTTCCTTTTCCCCTCTAAACGTCCTCCGTGACACTACTGAGGACGACATGAGACAAAGTGAAAAATCAAAGGTCTCCATTCTGTAGGAGAAAGATGGTGAGATGAAAACAGGCCATGTGTTCCTCCATTGTGAGGTAGTTTAATGAGGTAAAACTCGGCACATGCGGCGATGTCAGACTGGGACAATGGCCCTGTCAGTGGTCCTCTTTATGTGCAGGCAGAAAAGGGGCATCACTGCTATTCAGGACTCATGGGGTGAAAAATCTGACAGATTGCCAGGAGCGGCCAGTGTGCGCTTTTCATAGAATAAAAAGATTAACAAAAAGCCTCAATAGCCGCAAGAAAAAATAACCGCTCTTGTCCTAAATACGATACCGATCCTCCATCTTTCAGGATGAAGTGTTGGCTTTTGAATGTTAAAATATGATGTCAAACACAGTTCTCTTACATATGTCAGTGGGATCATGTTTAGATTTTTTTCAGTGGGCATTTACCGAGACCAATGGAACCCTTGAACAATATGTAACACATCCCTGTACTTCTTTTTCTCCAGTCCTCCTCATCTTCCCAGGAGCGCCTGCACCAGCTGCCCTACCAGCCCACTCAAGACCAACTCCACTTCCTGTTCAAGCACTTCCGCAGCTCAGAGAATGTGACCGACGAGGAAGCACAACCCTCGCCGTTCATGCGCCCTCGCTCCCGCAGCCTCAGGTAGCCGCCCGTTACCCCTCGCCTGAACTGTAATGAGCCGCCCGTTACCCCTCGCCTGAACTGTAATGAGCCGCCCGTTACCCCTCGCCTGAACTGTAATGAGCCGCCCGTTACCCCTCGCCTGAACTGTAATGAGCCGCCCGTTACCCCTCGCCTGAACTGTAATGAGCCGCCCGTTTCCCCTCGCCTGAACTGTAATGAGCCGCCCGTTTCCCCTCGCCTGAACTGTAATGAGCCGCCCGTTTCCCCTCGCCTGAACTGTAATGAGCCGCCCGTTACCCCTCGCCTGAACTGTAATGAGCCGCCCGTTTCCCCTCGCCTGAACTGTAATGAGCCGCCCGTTACCCCTCGCCTGAACTGTAATGAGCCGCCCGTTACCCAATTTGCCAATGTTCAGCACGCCTCAAGTTGACCTCTAGCTAAAGTCACTACTGGGGTTGGGTGGTATCCAGATTTTCATACCGTTCCAACACTAGGTAGCCTAGCGGGCTATTTTCATACCGTTCCTGCTTTTATTTTTTACTTATCTATTGTTTACTTAACACTTATTTTTCTTAGAACTGCATTGTTGGTTAAGGGCTTGTAAGTAAGCATTTCACTGTAAGGTCTACACCTGTTGTATTCGCCGCATGTGACAAATAAAATATGATTTGATTTGGTCAATATCTGACACTAGCTGTTGTCTTACCTAATACTGAATAGTTTTTTTAAATCTAAAGTGGCAAAGTAAAACAGGAAATGAGCTTGGAAGTAAAATAACATGTTGATTTTAGATGTTTTGAAGGGATTAGATTTCATTTTTTGTCAAGATGGTACACAATCACTTTTCCACAATGAATCTTTACGTGGGATGATCATTTTGGCCATTATTCAAAATATTGCACCAACCCAATAAGAACGGCAGAGCTCTGTCAGTCCATTTGGTTGGATTGGAATAATAGAAATTAACCAGCTTTATGTCCTTTTCTGTTGTAGCCCTGGAAGAACAATGGGTTCATTCGATAATGAGATCGTCATGATGAACCATGTTTACAAAGAACGATTTCCTAAGGTATGTCATGCTGTCTCTTCCCCCTTTGTTGTACAAGAGGCAATGTCTGTTTGTATTTTCCCCAATAAGAAAGCTTTCGAGCTCTGATCTTATGTAACGAATCAAATCAAACTTTGGTGTGTGTTTGTGAATAATGTGTGTTTGTTGTCTTTAGGCCACAGCACAGATGGAGGAGCGCTTGCTGGATATCGTCACTACCTGCTCCCCAGACAGCACCCTCCCACTGTCTGACGGCGTACTGGGCTTCATCCAGCACCAGCTGGTGGAGCTGGTCCGAGACTGTCTGGACAAGTCCCACATGGGCCTGGTCACCTCGCGCTACTTTGTGGAGTTGCAGGAGAAACTGGAGAAGCTGCTCCATGAGGTGGGATATCCACATATCTTTGCGTCTGGGTTTAGCAATGTGATCGGCCGATAACTGTCCATGATATCGATAGATATCTTAGATTCAACAATGTGATTGGCCGATAACTGTCCATGATATCGATAGATATCTTAGATTCAACAATGTGATCGGCCGATAACTGTCCATGGTATCGATAGATATCTTAGATTCAAGAATGTGATCGGCCGATAACTCACTCACTTGAGTCTGTTCCCTCAGACTACCCATTGTTTAATGATTTGCTTATGATTCTCTGATGGTATCAGAGGGAAAAGTTGATGGCATTCAAACAATTCCTGAGGGATCTTCTGGCTTCTGTCCTTTTGCTTCGGTTCACCATTCACTAACAGTGACTCAGTGAGCAAAGCCTCATGCCAACACTGACAATGAACTTTGCCTGTTACATCACTTCCTCCCCTCATTGATTCTGCTGTCTGTTTAGGAAAGCATCAACATAATTAAACTGTACATGTAGACAACCCTACCATATTAGTGCTGCTGGGTATAAATAAACTAGTTGTTCATCAGTTGAACATTCAAATGTGATCGTGCTGAATCAAGGGGAATTGATTGAGCCAGGCTAAGTGAAACGAATGGCCAGACACAGTCTCAAGCCCCAAGGCGCACAATAGATTTGGAAATGGAATTGGGAGTGCGACTGATCTGTACAGTTTTATCCATATAGATCCTATTAAATTACTAATGTATTCTAATTTACATTTTAGTCATTTAGCAGAATCGAACCCACAACCCTGGCGTTGCAAGCGCCATGCTCTACCAACTGAGCTCTGGTCTTATCACTGTTATGATAGAATGGTCATTTCTATGGCAACCTCTTCCACCTTTCTCCTGTGTGGACAGCCAGTGTGTGTACTTCCACATAACAGGCATGGCAGGGGCACGGCTGAGATTATAAATGTGTTCCCATACAGTGAAATAAATGGTGTCAGCCAGTATTCTAGCACCGAAATGTCCTCAACTACGGTATGGGAAATGTCAACCTCCTGAGGAATAGATAAGTTGTTTTTGGAGGGCATGTTAGTTGTGTGGTTTCAGTAGTGCAGTTTGTCACCCTACCCATGTTAATTCAAGTCAGACGCAACGATGATGACTCACTGTTTGAATCAGGAGGCTCTCGGAACGCACCTGAGGAATATTCTCGTTTGTTTAATGTAACGTCCTCTCTGACGCGTTGTCGTGGGGATACGCATGCGTGAAATATTTCTGGCCACTTTTTATCCATCTGTTCAGGGGGACACATTACTTTTCGCTTCCCTTTTCTGACATTCGTCCTCATTGCGTTGGCTTGTTTGGTATTTTTTATTTTTTTTCGAGTCACAGAAACCACTGAGCCTGACTGAGCCCGTCTCATGTGGTTCCGTGGAGTTGTTTCCAGTGAGTCGTCTTTCCATGATGCGCATCTTTAATTCAAAAGAGTTATCTTACTGCACTCTTGCTCTGTGTAGGTGGTTCATCTAGATAAGACTTCAGAGCATTCTCTTCCCTTGAGCTGCCCTTATTCAAAACTCAGTGTTGCTCTCACCACTCTAACCCTAGCAGACAGTTTGCCTTGAAGGCAGACTCACTTAATGCAATGTGTGGTAAATAGTTAGTCGTCCTCTTTTTGTGCGTGTCTGTACACTGTTATACAGCTGTCCAGACACTTGCACCTGACCTCAGAAGGACAGCGCAGCAATCGCCTAAGCTATTCTGCCTCTTGGTCCTCGTATACAAATGAACTAGAACATTATTACGCAGCTTATATTGGGTATCCTATACTGATGCATAGTGTAAGGGCTTAAGATCCATTGGCTTCCTGATTTGTGTACTGTAGAACAATTTATTATCTGGAATTGATCATCCACTGAAGTATGTTCTAACAAGCACAAGTGTTATTTCTTCCTTTGAAGGCACCAAAGAGATTTGAATAGAAACTGCACTGTATGTGGTCCTGTCCATGAACAACCCCTAGCGGTTAGCCACTTCCCCCAAGGCATTTGGGTGGAATTATTGCCATATTACTTACACTTATCCAGCCCTCTCAGATCTACAGAGGTGCCTATCCACTGTGCACAGACGTCAATTCAACGTCTATTCCACGTTGGTTCAAATGTAATTTCATTGAAATGACGTCGAAACAACCAGTGTGTGCCTAGTGGGTAGGGGCTAGGCGCCCTCAAACTCAACTCTGGACCTCGAAGCCAGTTCCACTGCATTTTTTTTTCATTGTTCCCCTCTAATCAGGGGTTGATTTAGACCTGGAACACCAGGTGGGTGGAATTAATTATCAGGTAGAACTGAAAACCAGCAGGGTCCGGACCTCGTAAGTTAAGAGTTGAATACCCCTGGGCTAGGGTTTCTTTCTGGACAGGTCCTATGTCTGCAAGAAATGCATTCTGTGATCATGCTGCATGTAGCTAGGTTGTTTTGGACATACAGTGGCTTGCGAAAGTAATCACCCCCTTGGCATTTTTCCTATTTTGTTGCCTTACAACCTGGAATTAAAATGGATTTTTGGGGGGTTTGTATAATTAGATTTACACAACATGCCTACCACTTTCAAGATGCAAAATCTATTTTATTGTGAAACAAACAAGAAATAAGACATAAAACAGAACTTGAGCGTGCATAACTATTCACCCCCCCCCCCCCCCCCAAAGTCAATACTTTGTAGAGCCACCTTTTGCAGCAATTACAGCTGCAAGTCTCTTGGGGTATGTCTCTATAAGCTTGGCACTTCTAGCCACTGGGATTTTTGCCCATTCTTCAAGGCAAAACTGCTCCAGCTCCTTCAAGTTGGATGGGTTCCGCTGGTGTACAGCAATCTTTAAGTCATACCACAGATTCTCAATTGGATTGAGGTCTGGGCTTTGACTAGGCCATTCCAAGACATTTAAATGTTTCCCCTTAAACCACTCAAGTGTTGCTTTAGCAGTATGCTTAGGGTCATTGTCCTGCTGGAAGGTGAACCTCCATTCCAGTCTCAAATCTTTGGAAGACTGAAACAGGTTTCCCTCAAGAATTTCCCTGTATTTAGTGTCCATCATTCCTTCAATTCTGACCAGTTTCCCAGTCCCTGCCGATGAAAAACATCCCCACAGCATGATGCTGCCACCACCATGCTTCACTGTGGGGATGGTGTTCTCGGGGTGATGAGAGGTGTTGGGTTTGCGCCAGACATAGCGTTTTCCTTGATGGCCAAAAAGCTCAATTTTAGTCTCATCTGACCAGAGTACCTTCTTCCATATGTTTGGGGAGTCTCCCACATGACTTTTGGCAAACACCAAACATGTTTGCTTATTTTTTTCTTAAAGCAATGGCTTTTTTCTGGCCACTCTTCCGTAAAGCCCAGCTCTGTGGCGTGTACGGCTTAAAGTGGTCCTATGGACAGACACTACAATCTCCTCTGTGGAGCATTGCAGCTCCTTCAGGGTTATCTTTGGTCTCTTTGTTGCCTCTCAGATTAATGCCCTCCTTGCCTGGTCCGTGAGTTTTGGTGGGCGGCCCTCTCTTGGCAGGTTTGTTGTGGTGCCATATTCTTTCAATTTTTTAAATAATGGATTTAATGGTGCTCCGTGGGATGTTCAAAGTTTCAGATATTTTTTTATAACCCAACCCTGATCTGTACTTCTCCACAACTTTGTCCCTGACCTGTTTGGAGAGCTCCTTGGTCTTCATGGTGCCGCTTGCTTGGTGGTGCCCCTTGCTTAGTGGTGTTGCAGACTCTGGGGCCTTTAAGAACAGGTGTATATATACTGAGATCATGTGACAGATCATGTGACACTTAGATTGCACACAGGTGGACTTTATTTAACTAATTATGTGACTTCTGAAGGTAATTGGATGCACCAGATCTTATTTAGGGGCTTCATAGCAAAAGGGGGTGAATACATATACACGCACCACTTTTCCGTTATTAATTTTTTAGAATTTATTGAAACAAGTTAATTTTTCATTTCACTTCACCAATTTGGACTATTTTGTGTATGTCCATTACATGAAATCCAAATAATAATAATAATTAAAATGTCAGGTTGTAATGCAACAAAATAGTAAAAAGTCCAAGGGGGATGAATACTTTTGCAAGGCACTGTAGTATGTTGGCTTTAATGCTATGTGGTTGTGCTCTTGCTATGGTGAAATAAATTAATAGGTTTTTCTGTTTTTGAGCTCTGTGTCTTCAACAAAGTTAATAATCTCCATGTTATGCTCTGTTAAAAAGCTGACAACATTTTGTCTTTGCATTTCAGGCATACGATCGCTCAGAGAGCGAGGAGGTATCCGTCATCACCCAGCTGGTGAAGAAGATTCTCATCATCATATCCCGACCGGCGAGGCTGCTCGAGTGCCTGGTGAGATGGAAAGAAGGTCTCATTCTGATTGAAAATGAGATTGATTCTGTCGAGTGCGATGGAAAGCCGTCTCTCTTAATCTGTTGTGTCGATGGGGGAAGTTTTTTTTTAAACCACTGCATGGCCAATAAGCTCTTTCATGGCTAGGTGATTTTATTAACCTTAATCCGATTAAATGTAATGGGCTTTGGAATGTGATTGGCAGGAATTTGACCCGGAAGAGTTCTATCATCTGCTAGAGGCAGCTGAGGGTCATGCCAAGGAGGGCCAGGGCATCAAGACGGACATTCCACGTTACATCATCAACCAACTGGGCTTGACTCGCGACCCCCTCAAAGGTATTGGTACATCTTTTGCCATAACATTGACCTGAATTTCCCACACTTGAGGCAGACATCCAGAACCAGTCAATATCATGCGTTGCTGTTCAATCATATCTTTCTCCCCTGCTCTTTTAGATATGGTACAGCTTGAACAGTCTGCTCCGTCAATGACAGTGGAGTTTGATGAGTCGGTGGAGGTAAGGAGTTAGGCAGCCTGAGAGAGCCCGCAGAATCAAATAAACTGGACTTTCAATTAACAATATAGGTCCTGATAGCAGCTTTGTTTACATGACTTCATTTAGTAGTCTGGCTATGTAATCATACTGGCGCCAGTGGGATAATGAGTCCCCGGGCACCTTCTGCATAATGTGAGCCTCCTAACTTCTCTTGTTGTTTGCACTATTTGCAGCAGAACAAGTGTCCACAGACACTCACCCCGACGCGAAGGAAACCACTGGAGAGTGACTTTGAAACCATCAAGCTCATCAGTAATGGAGCTTATGGGTAAGCGCTAAACAGGAAGGTGGTTAACCACACTAATAACTAAAAAACATGGACTCCCAATTAGCTATTAGCATACATGTATTTACTCTAAATCAATGCACTCTGTCACCTCAGCAATAGTCAGTTAAAGGTTAAAGTTAAAAGGTCAATGGTAGACTTCTGTCATGATCAGTAAACATTTAGAGAACTACTGAAAATAAACTACACTTCCACTTACAATGAATTAACCTACCCCTGTAGTAATGGATTATCAATGTGGAGGTCTTTTATGACATGGCTCCTGTCCTGTGGCGGTTGGCAGGGCTGTGTACCTGGTCCGACACAGAGACACCCGGCAGCGTTTCGCCATGAAAAAGATCAACCGGCAGAACCTAGTCCTGAGGAACCAGATCCAGCAGGTGTTTGTGGAGCGGGACATCCTGACCTTCGCCGAGAACCCCTTCGTGGTCTCCATGTTCTGCTCCTTCGAGACACGACGCCACCTGTGCATGGTGATGGAGTATGTGGAAGGTAATGTAATATGATATTCTACCCCAAGAGTGATATGTTTATCATGACGCTCTCATTTATCATGTTTCTAAAAGAGGGGGACTGAATGGAAATAGTTTGAAAGGTGAATGTGTTCCACCAATGATTTCTCGTAGCTATAGCATAACAGTTGGTTATCTCTTGCAGGTGGGGACTGTGCTAACCTGCTGAAGAATATGGGCCCCCTTCCTGTGGACATGACCCGGATGTACTTTGCTGAGACTGTGCTGGCCTTGGAGTACCTTCACAACTACGGCATCGTCCATAGAGACCTCAAACCTGACAAGTGAGTCCAGAAACAGCTTTAAACATCTTTAAACAGCTCAAGAAAGTGTAGTTTGAACATTTCTCTCCATCCCCCCCTGCAGCTTGTTGATCACCTCTATGGGCCACATCAAACTGACCGACTTTGGCCTGTCCAGAGTTGGCCTGATGAACATGACTACCAACCTGTATGAGGGTCACATGGAGAAAGACACCAGGGAGTTCATCGACAAACAGGTGAGAGTCAGTGCTGTACCTCTTAAACCTTTATTTGTCCATAGGACAAGAATATACAGAAAATGCCAGACACATGTCTTGAACACAAACGCACACACTTACACCAGGTCAAATACTTTCAAGTACTGAACCCAGTATAGGTGTACCATCTCATAACTACTGTGTAACTAAATTCCAATGTGCAAAAAATAAATCTGAATACACATGCTAACGGTATAATTCAACATTATCGGTGTGGTTCTCTAGGTGTGTGGCACCCCAGAGTACATAGCCCCGGAGGTGATACTAAGACAGGGCTATGGGAAGCCAGTAGACTGGTGGGCCATGGGAGTCATCCTGTATGAGTTCCTGGTTGGATGTGTGCCCTTCTTTGGGGACACGCCTGAGGAACTATTTGGGCAGGTTGTCAGTGGCAAGTATCCATTGATGGAATAAAAACAGTGTATAGGCTTTTTAAAATGGTGTTTAAAGTGGTGATCCTCTCATTAACGTGTGCTTGCCCAAATGTACAGATGACATCATCTGGCCCGATGGGGACGAAGCTTTACCTGCAGACGCCCAGGACATGATCACACGGCTGCTGAGGCAGAGCCCTCTGGAGCGCCTGGGAACAGGTACGTAAACCACTCAGCTACATTCCAATGTCCATACTAACATCCCACATAGAATTCATGTTCAATTTGCACATAGAATTAATGTCCAGTCCCACATAGAATTCATGTCCAGTCCCACATAGAATTCATGTCCAGTCCCACATAGAATTCATGTCCAGTCCCACATAGAATTCATGTCCAGTCCCACATAGAATTCATGTCCAGTCCCACATAGAATTCATGTCCCACATAGAATTCATGTCCAGTCCCACATAGAATTCATGTCCAGTCCCACATAGAATTCATGTCCAGTCCCACATAGAATTCATGTCCAGTCCCACATAGAATTCATGTCCAGTCCCACATATAATTCATGTCCAATCCCACGTAGAATTCATGACCAATCCCACGTAAAATTAATGTCCAATCCCACATAGAATTAATGTCCAATCCCACATAGAATTCTTGTCCAATTGCTTCATTCTTAGTGGTGCGCTAGTGTAGATAGTGGAACCAAGCCCTCGTATTCCATTTCACTTCATCCCGGTCTGACGTTTTGCTGTTGGCTATTGTTCTGAAATCTGCACACATGACTGTGATCTAAAAATATATATTTTGTTCTAGGAGGAGCACCTGAGGTCAAACAACACCCCTTTTTCTTTCGTCTGGACTGGAACGGGCTACTGCGACAGAAAGCAGAATTCATCCCTCAACTGGAAGCGGAGGATGACACCAGCTACTTTGACAGTACGTGGCAGTCCTTCACAAGTGCTCTTTTTTCATGTCTTTTTATTTATCCTTTATTTAATCAGAAAAGTCACATTGAGATTTACAGTGGGGGGAAAAAAGTATTTAGTCAGCCACCAATTGTGCAAGTTCTCCCACTTAAAAAGATGAGAGAGGCCTGTAATTTTCATCATAGGTACACGTCAACTATGACAGACAAAATGAGATTTTTTTTTCCAGAAAATGACATTGTAGGATTTTTAATGAATTTATTTGCAAATTATGGTGGAAAATAAGTATTTGGTCAATAACAAAAGTTTCTCAATACTTTGTTATAAACCCTTTGTTGGCAATGACACAGGTCAAACGTTTTCTGTAAGTCTTCACAAGGTTTTCACACACTGTTGCTGGTATTTTGGCCCAATCCTCCATGCAGATCTCCTCTAGAGCAGTGATGTTTTGGGGCTGTCGCTGGGCAACACAGACTTTCAACTCCCTCCAAAGATTTTCTATGGGGTTGAGATCTGGAGACTGGCTAGGCCACTCCAGGACCTTGAAATGCTTCTTACGAAGCCACTCCTTCGTTGCCCGGGCGGTGTGTTTGGGATCATTGTCATGCTGAAAGACCCAGCCACGTTTCATCTTCAATGCCCTTGCTGATGGAAGGAGGTTTTCACTCAAAATCTCACGATACATGGCCCCATTCATTCTTTCCTTTACACGGATCAGTCGTCCTGGTCCCTTTGCAGAAAAACAGCCCCAAAGCATGATGTTTCCACCCCCATGCTTCACAGTAGGTATGGTGTTCTTTGGATGCAACTCAGCATTCTTTGTCCTCCAAACACGACGAGTTGAGTTTTTACCAAAAAGTTATATTTTGGTTTCATCTGACCATATGACATTCTCCCAATCCTCTTCTGGATCATCCAAATGCACTCTAGCAAACTTCAGACGGGCCTGGACATGTACTGGCTTAAGCAGGGGGACACGTCTGGCACTGCAGGATTTGAGTCCCTGGCGGCGTAGTGTGTTACTGATGGTAGGCTTTGTTACTTTGGTCCCAGCTCTCTGCAGGTCATTCACTAGGTCCCCCCGTGTGGTTCTGGGATTTTTGCTCACCGTTCTTGTGATCATTTTGACCCCACGGGGTGAGATCTTGCGTGGAGCCCCAGATCGAGGGAGATTATCAGTGGTCTTGTATGTCTTCCATTTCCTAATAATTGCTCCCACAGTTGATTTCTTCAAACCAAGCTGCTTACCTATTGCAGATTCAGTCTTCCCAGCCTGGTGCAGGTCTACAATTTTGTTTCTGGTGTCCTTTGACAGCTCTTTGGTCTTGGCCATAGTGGAGTTTGGAGTGTGACTGTTTGAGGTTGTGGACAAGTGTCTTTTATACTGATAACAAGTTCAAACAGGTGCCATTAATACAGGTAACGAGTGGAGGACAGAGGAGCCTCTTAAAGAAGAAGTTACAGGTCTGTGAGAGCCAGAAATCTTGCTTGTTTGTAGGTGACCAAATACTTATTTTCCACCATAATTTGCAAATAAATTCATAAAAAATCCTACAATGTGATTTTCTGGATTTTCTTTCCTCAATTTGTCTGTCATAGTTGACGTGTACCTATGATGAAAATTACAGGCCTCTCTCATCTTTTTAAGTGGGAGAACTTGCACAATTGGTGGCTGACTAAATACATTTTTTCCCCACTGTATATCTCAATTCCAAGTGAGCACTGGCAACGAAAGCAGCATACATAGGCTGTTCTCCTATGGGGACAGCTGAAGAACCCTTTTAGGTTCTAGATAGCACCTATTTTTTCTAAGAGTGTATGGCTGCGTTTAGACAGGCAGCCCAATTCTGGTCTTTTGACCAATCAGATCAGCTCTGAAAAAGAGCTGATGTGAAAAGATCTGATGTGATTGGTCAAAAATATCAGAATTGGGCTGCCTGCGTAAACACAGCCATACACTCTTAGAAAAAAGGGCGCTATCTAGAACCTAAAAGGGTTCTTCGGCTGTCCCCCATAGGAGAACCCTGTTGAAGAACCCTTTTGGTTCCAGGTAGAACTGTTTTGGGTTCCATGTAGAACCCTTTCCACAGAGGGTTCTACATGGAACCAAAAAGGGTTCTCCTATGGGGACAGCCGAAGAACCCTTTTGGAACCTTTTTTTCTAAGAGTGTATAGTTATACATAAAACATAACAATGAATGGAAGTTAAAACAGTGTAAAGGGCATAAGATAACTTAAAAGAGCAGGTCTTATTAAAGATGCTACACATAGGATAAAAAAAAAATGGTATTGTAATTTCAGAAAATGGCCTTAATATATCTGCAGTAATAGTGAAATGATAGTGTTTCACAATATTACTTAAACACCAGTGTTGTGATTGGCTGTGATATTCTCCTATAGATTCTTCCCACCGGAGCGGCATCTTGTCAAAATGTGAAAGCTGTTTTGACTTTGTGTCTGTGCTGTCTAGTGGAAATCGCTCTCATTTCCTGGTTGCAAAAATTCTACACTGTTTGCTCAATTTCAGTTTATGTGAGAAAACAAGCAATGAATAGTGTAGGGAATCGATGTGAAATGTTGTTTCTACAGCTGTTTGAAGATGGTGGACAAAAACCGAAAGTAAAATGCTCAAGTTCGAGTTTCTGCCATGTTACAGGGAAATGGAATGCGAGGGAGTGGGGAGATTTGTTTTGAATGCAGCCTAGTGCTGTTGCAATTCACCTAGCTTCCACATGGGGGAGAATTTGAGAATTTCTGTGTGTAGCACCTTTAAAACAAAGATAAATGTCCTGCTATTGCCAGTGTACTGTATCTCCACAGATTTAGTGATATTTGCTCTTCATCCAGGTCTTGCTGATTTTATATTTTCATTTGTCAATTATGTTGAATAAAGATGATATGTTTTTCTGAAATACTGTAAATGACCCGGTTGGATATTATGGTATGGTCCCAGTTCCATGCATTCTGTGTTGTCATGTTTTCAGCTCGCTCAGAGCGGTACCACCATTTAGCCTCGGATGAGGATGATGAAACCAATGATGAAGAGTCTTCCCTGGAAATCCGACAGTTCTCCTCCTGGTCAAACCGCTTCAGCAAGGTTCGGAACATACCTCTTCATATATTTGTAATTTTGTCAGAACAGATAAATGTCAATAATATTACTAGTTAGTAGAGTATTTCTCTTTTAAATAGAATAATGACAAAAATCCTTAAATCTGTTTTTGTTTGGAGCCAAGTTCACCAAACTCGGCCACCCTAGCAAATGTGGCTACTCCATGCTTTCAGCACAGAACATACAGCAGTACAGAACGTCTGGCCACGCCGTCCAACCTGAGCTTCTCATCGGACCGCAGCCACAGCGAGGAGGGCTGGGATGGACGTTTCACACCCTCCCCAGGAGGAGACATCCAGAGACAGGAACGCCAGCACCAAGATCGCAGGGGCAGGTGAGCAGAGCCAGGACGAGCTTATAGCTCTCTCTCTTTCTGTTAGGATTCTCTGTGTAGTAGTTCAAATACTTTCTTATCGGAAGCACTGCAGAACAGTGGGTGAAAGTGCATAAAATGATGATTAGTTCAGAAAAGTCAACAAATGTTGCTGAATAGGGTGTGCATAAATGATGGCTGCACATGTCCTAAATGACTGCTAGCTTTATATAGGATATAATTTGGTGCTTATATCTGTCCTATTTCACACATGTATAAGTGTGTATTTAAAAGCATGTGTGAGTTGGAAAAGTTTTTTTTATCCCAACTCTCCCTGAGACACCGTTGGAGAGTGGGGTCATGGCCAGAGTCTACCATTATTAACGTCGACCCTGGAGCAATTGGGGTTAAGTGCCTTGCTCAAGGGCACAGCAACAGATTTCTAACCTTGTTTCGGTTACTGGACCAACGCTCTAACCACTAGGCTACCTGCAGCTTGATATAATGTGTCACCGTCGTTATGTCCCCTCCTCCTAACTTCCACTGAGGTTGATGTGTTGCAGCCTGCGCCCACGGACCTCGTCCAGTTCCTCCCAGTCTGAGAGGAGTGCCAGCCCACTGGTGATGAGCAGCACCCACAGTCTGGAGACCACGCCCCGCTTTGCCTTCTCCACTGATGATGAAGGTGAGCTCAGCCGCAAGCCCCTCCCTCCACCCTGCTTCAAGTCTGCACAGCCTTATGGAAACCAACAGAAATTGAAACATTGCCTCAGTGCAGACTGATAAAAGGGGAAACCGTCAAAACTATATACATCTAGGCACAAACACAGAGTTTACCAAGAGTTTGAGTGTACACGCTTCCTCTTTTGTTTTCAATGACCTTCCATCCAGACCAAGTATTGTGTCTGCAGAGACACTTCAGAGATATTGATATATGCCCTTACTCCTGTGCATTACAGCTGAGGTGGTCGTATCAAACCTGCATCGGATCCGGATTCGTAGCAACAGCACCGGGGCGAAACACTCTTCCCCCAAGGACCACGGGGCCCCCCGACGCTTTGGGAACCAGCTGGAGACGCCAGACAGACCGAGGCTTGGGGGCAAAGTAGCCAAATCTGCCTCCGTCTCTGCCCTGTCTCTCATCATCACTGCAGGTTAATACTACTGTCATGCAAGTTTCCTCTGGACACAGCGGTAATGGTTCAGAAGCTAAATAAGTTAGTCATACAGGGTTGCTGGTCCCCAGCAGGCAAATATCACTGAATAGGGTGTGGATATATGACAGGTGTGTCTGCACAGAGCTAATAGATGTTAAGTAAATGCTAAACAAGAGCAGTCTCTTGTTCTAAATTCCACCATTGTCCCATACTTTTTCTAATTTCCTGAACATGAACTCATCCTTTATGCACCTTTCCAGACGACATACCCGGTGGTCTCCAGCCCAGCCCCATCTTAACGCGCTCCCTCTCGTCCAACCCTTCGTCCCGCGACTCATCCCCCAGCCGAGACCTGTCGCTTAGCCTCAGCATCCTGGGGCCACCCATCGTCATCCACAGCTCGGGGAAGAAGTACGGCTTCACCATGCAGGCCATCCGCGTTTACATGGGCGACAGCGACATCTACACCGTGCACCACATGGTCTCGGTGAGTGCCCCGTACTATTCTGCTCCAGAATTAGCCAATAGTTACATAATCAAAGGCTGCATCACCCCACAAAGACTTTGAGTAATTGTGATAATAATAAACCACTTTTGTTTTACAGAGTGTGGAAGATGGCAGCCCAGCCTTTGAGGCAGAACTGAGGGCCGGTGACCTCATCACTCACGTGAATGGAGAGTCGGTGCAAGGCCTGGTCCACACAGAGATGATGGAGCTGCTTCTGAAGGTACAGAAACAAACACAACCTCAAGCCTAATGTCAACCTATACTCACACTCTTTATGATATTATAAGACCTTTAATCAATACTAATACCTAATTGGTTTTTGTGAAACACCAAAAGAGTGGCGGCAAGGTGGCCCTTCAGACCACGGCACTGGAGAACACGTCAATCAAGGTTGGGCCGGCTCGAAAGACCAGCCACAAGGGCAAAATGGCAAGACGCAGCAAGAAAAGCAAGAGAAGGGACAATCAGGACAGGTGAGGGAAGACATTTTGGTTGTTGTGTGCTAATTTAATTAAATGGAATATTGCTGCCGTATTGCCATTGTTATGATATATTAACTTGTTGGGGTTGATATGAAAACATACATTTTATATATACTGAACAAAAATATAAACGCAACATGTAAAGTGTTGGTCCCATGTTTCATGAGCTGAAATAAAAGATCTCAGAAATGTTGGGCACAAATTTGTTTACATCCCTGTTAGTGTGCATTTCTCCTTTGCAAAGATAATCCATCCACCTGAGAGGTGTGGCATATCAAGAAGCTGATTAAACAGCATGATCATTACACAGGTGCACAATAAAAGGCCACTCTAAAATGTGCAGTTTTTGTCAGACAACACAATGCCACAGATGTCTCAAGTTTTGAGGGAGCGTGCAATTGGCATGCTGACTGTAGGAATGTCCACCAGAGGTGTTGCCAATGAATTTAATGTTAATTTCTCTACCATAAGCCGCCTCTAACGTCGTTTTAGAGAATTTGGCAGTACGTCCAACCGGCCTCACAGCCGTAGACCACGTGTAACCACGACAGCCCAGGACCTCCACATCCGTCTTCTTCACCTGTGGGATGGTCTGAGACCAGCCACCTGGACAACTGATGAAACTGTTGGTTTGCACAACTGAAGAATTTCTGCACAAACTGTCAGAAACCGTCTCAGGGAAGCTCATTTGTGTGCTTGTCATCCTCACCAGGGTCTTGACCTGACTGCAGTTCGGCGTCGTAACCGACTTCAGTGGGCAAATGCTTACCTTCGATGGCAAATGGGACGCTGGAGAAGTGTGCTGTTCACGGATTAATCATGGTTTCAAATGTACCTGGCAGATTGCAGACAGCATCTATTACGGACTACAAAGGGAAACCCAGCCGCGAGCTGCCTAGTGACACGAGCCTACCAGACGAGCTAAATCAATTTTCAATCAATTTTATTTTATATAGCCCTTCTTACATCAGCTAATATCTCGAAGTGCTGTACAGAAACCCAGCCTAAAACCCCAAACAGCTAGTAATGCAGGTGTAGAAGCACGGTGGCTAGGAAAAACTCCCTAGAAAGGCCAAAACCTAGGAAGAAACCTAGAGAGGAACCAGGCTATGAGGGGTGGCCAGTCCTCTTCTGGCTGTGCCGGGTGGAGATTATAACAGAACCATGCCAAGATGTTCAAAAATGTTCATAAGTGACAAGCATGGTCAAATAATAATCAGGAATAAATCTCAGTTGGCTTTTCATAGCCGATCATTAAGAGTTGAAAACAGCAGGTCTGGGACAGGTAGGGGTTCCATAACCGCAGGCAGAACAGTTGAAACTGGAATAGCAGCAAGGCCAGGCGGACTGGGGACAGCAAGGAGTCACCACGGCCGGTAGTCCCGACGTATGGTCCTAGGGCTCAGGTCTCTCAGTTGGCTTTTCATAGCCGATCATTAAGAGTTGAAAATGCCTAAATGCCTTTTCTGCATGCTCGCTTCGATGCATGCAACACTGAAGCATGCTTGAGAGCACCAGCTGTTCCGGACGACTGTGTGATCACGCTCTCCATAGCCAATGTTTAAAAAAAGTAAAATTATTTCACCTTTATTTAACCAGGTAAGCCAGTTGAGAACAAGTTCTCATTTACAACTGCGACCTGGCCAAGATAAAGCAAAGCAGTGCGATTAAAAACAACAACAACACAGAGTTACATATGGAATAAACAAAAACAAAATGTACAGTCAATAACGCAATAGAAAATATATATACAGTGTGTGCAACTGTAGTAAGTTATGGAGGTAAGGCAATAAATAGGCCATAGTGTAAAATAATTACAATTTAGTATTAACACTGGAGTGATGGATGTGCAGAAGATGATGTGCAAATAGAGATACTGGGGTGCAATTGAGCAAATAAATAATGTAAATAACAATATGGGGATGAGGTAGTTGGGTGGGCTAATTACAGATGGGCTGTGTACAGGTGCAGTGATGGGTAAGCTGCTCTGACAACTGATGCTTAAAGTTAGTGAGGGAGATAAGTGTCTCCAGCTTCAGAGACTTTTGCAGTTCGTTCCAGTCATTTGCAGCAGAGAACTGGAAGGAATGGTGGCCAAAGGAGGTGTTGGCTTTGGGGATGACCAGTGATATATACCTGCTGGAACGCATACTACGGGTGGGTGTTACTTGGTGTCCAATGTTCTAAGATAAGGCGGGGATTTGCCTAGAAGTGATTTATAGATGACCTGGAGCCAGTGGGTTTGGCGACGAATATGTAGTGAGGACCAGCCAACAAGAGCGTACAGGTCACAGTGGTGGGTAGTATATGGGGCTTTGGTGACAAAACGGATGGCACTGTGATAGACTACATCCAAATTGCTGAGTAGAGTATTGGAGGCTATTTTGTAAATGACATCGCCGAAGTCAAGGATCGGTAGGATAGTCAGTTTTACGAGGGCATGTTTAGCAGCATGAATGAAGGAAGCTTTGTTGCAAAATAGGAAGCCGATTCTAGATTTAACTTTGGATTGGAGATGCTTAATGTGAGTCTGGAAGGAGAGTTTACGGTCTAACCAGACACCTAGGTTTTTGTAGTTGTCCACATATTCTAAGTCAGACCCGCCGAGAGTAGTGATTCTAGTCGGGCTGGCGGGTGCAGGCAGCGTTCGATTGAAGAGCATGCATTTAAGAGCAGTTGGAGGCCACGGAAGGAGTGTTGTATCATTGATATACACAGAGAATAGAGTCGGCCATAGAATTGAACCCTGTGGCACCCCCATAGAGACTGCCAGAGGTCCAGACAACAGGCCCTCGGATTTGACACATTGAACTCTATCTGAGAAGTAGTTGGTGAACCAGGCGAGGCAGTCATTTGAGAAACCAAGACTATTTAGTCTGCCAATAAGAATGCGGTGATTGACAGAGTCAAAAGCCTTGGCCAGGTCGATGAAGACGGCTACACAGTACTGTCTTTTATCGATTGCGGTTATTATATCATTTAGGACCTTGAGCGTGGCTGAGGTGCACCCATGACCTGAGGTGCACCCATGACCAATGGTCGGTGATCTGTTTGTTAACTAGGCTTTCGAAAGGCAGGGCAGGATGGATATAGGTCTGTAACAGTTTGGATCTAGAGTGTCACCCCCTTTGAAGAGGGGGATGACTGCGGCAGCTTTCCAATCTCTGGGGATCTCAGACGATACGAAAGAGAGGTTGAACAGGCTAGTAATAGGGGTTGCGACAATTTCGGCGGCTAATTTTAGAAAGAAAGGGTCCAGATTGTTTAGTCCAGCTGATTTGTAGGGGTCCAGATTTAGCAGCTCTTTCAGGACATCAGCTATCTGAATTTGGGTGAAGGAGAAGGGGGGGGGGGGGGCACGGGCAAGTTGCAGCGGAGGGTGCAGAGCTGGTGGCCGGTGTAGGGGTAGCCAGGTGGAAAGCATGGCCAGCCGTAGCACAATGCTTATTGAAATTCTCGATTATCGTAGATTTATCGGTGGTGACAGTGTTTCCTAGCCTCAGTGCAGTGGGTAGCTGGGAGGAGGTGCTCTTATTCTCCATGGACTTTACAGTGTCCCAACACTTTTTGGAGTTAGTGCTACAGGATGCAAATTTCTGTTTGAAAAAGCTAGCCTTTGCTTTCCTAACTGATTGTGTATATTGGTTCCTGACTTCCCTGAAAAGTGGCCCCGTGTAGCTCAGTTGGTAGAGCATGGCGTTTGCGACACCAGGGTTGTGGGTTCGATTCCCACGGGGGGCCAGTATGAAAACTGTATGCACTCACTAACTGTAAGTTGCTCTGGATAAAAGCGTCTGCTAAATGACTAAAATGTCAAATGTAAAAGTTGCATATCGCGGGGGCTGTTCGATGCTAATGCAGTACGCCACAGGATGTTTTTGTGCTGGTCAAGGGCAGTCAAGTCTGGGGTGAACCAGGGGCTATATCTGTTCTTAGTTCTGAATTTTTTGAATGGGGCATGCTTATTTACGATGGAGAGGAAAGCACTTTTGAAGAACATCCAGGCATCCTCTACTGACGGAATGAGGTCAATATCCATCCAGGATACCCGGGCCAGGTCAATTAGAAAGGCCTGCTCGCTGAAGTGGATAAGAGCGTCTGCTAAATGACGTAAATGTAAGTGTTTTAGGGAGCGTTTGACAGTGATGAGGGGTGGTCGTTTGACCGCGGACCCATTACGGACGCAGGCAATGTGGCATTGATCGCTGAGATCCTGGTTGAAGACAGCGGAGGTGTATTTAGAGCGTAAATTAGTCAGGATGATATCTATGAGTGTGCCCATGTTTACGGATTTAGGGTTGTACCTGGTAGGTTCCTTGATAATTTGTGTGAGATTGAGGGCATCTAGTTTAGATTGTAGGACGGCCAGGGTGTTAAGCATATCCCAGTTTAGTTCACCAAGCTGTACGAACTCTGAGGATAGATGGGGGGCAGAAGTAGAAGCTCAAACTGTTTGGGCACAGACCTGGATAGTATGATAGAGCTCTGGGAAATGTTCAGTATGATAGAGCTCTGCAGGCTAACTCCACCCCTTTGGCAGTTCTATCTAGACGGAAAATGTTGTAGTTCGGAATGGAAATTTCTGAATTTTTGGTGGCCTTCCTAAGCCAAGATTCAGACACTGCTAGAACATCAGGGTTGGCAGTGTGTGCTAACGCAGTGAATAACTCAAACTTGGGGAGTAGACTTCTGATGTTAACATGCAAGAAACCAAGGCTTTTACGATTACAGAAGTCAACAAATGATAGCGCCTGGGGGGTAGGAGTAATACTGGGGCCTACAGGGCCTGGGTTAACCTCTACATCATCAGAGGAACAGAGGAGGAATAGAATAAGGATACGGCTAAAGGCTTTAAGAACTGGTCTTCTAGTGCGTTGGGTACAGAGAAAGGGGGCAGATTTCCGGGTGTTGTAGAATAGATTCAGGGCTTTATGTATAGACAAGGATATGAGTACAGTGGAGGTACACCTAAGCATTGAGTAACTATGAAAGAGAGAGC